TACTTTGTAGCTAATCGTGTTCATACACAGCGAGATAAATTTGGCCACGCGAGCTCGCTACTTCCAGATGAAGTAGCAGATAATGTACGAGAGATTTTAATCAAGCCAGACATAGAAAAGCCATACGACGCATTAAAACAGGCAGTGATTAAAGCCGTCTCATTAAGCGACCGGCAAGCCATCGAACAACTTCTCAGTCAAGTGCAGATAGGAGATAGGACTCCATCTCAACTAAAAAACTATATGAGAAGCATAATCGATGACAGAAAAGTAGATAAAAACATATTTTATCAGTTGTGGTTACGACGACTTCCAGCGAACGTGCAGCAGATCCTTGCGGTTGAGGACAGCGATGTCGATATAGACAACATTGCTAAAATAGCCGATAGGATTTATGAGAGAATGAAACAAACGAGTCCGCAAAGGCATGGTACCACAGTAGATGGACGAATCGATGCATTACAAAAGGAGATTAATGTTTTATGCCACAAACTGACGAAACTAAGTCAGAGCGATACGCAAAGAGGATGGTCACAAAGTAGATTGAGGGAAAGAAGTCGATCACGTTCTAGGAGACGCTCAGCTCCTACAATATGTTGGTACCACCAAACTTTCGGCGATAAAGCTCGAAACTGTAGACCACCATGTAAGTTCAAACGACCACACCGATTGTCGATAACCGCCGCAACAACTACAACAGCTCCTAGAAACAGTCGTTTATTTTACGTGCAGGATAGAGTAACAGGCGCTCAATTCTTAGTCGATACGGGAGCAGAAGTAAGCGTCGTGCCTCCAGTAAGTAACGAAACACGAAATATCGATACAGCGCTAACGCTTAAGGCAGCAAATAAATCCGATATAAAAACATATGGCAAGCGAAAAGTAACCCTGAATTTTGGTCGTACTACCTCATTCCGCTGGGAATTCATTATCGCAGATGTATCCGTACCTATAATTGGTATTGATTTCTTAAAGAATTTCGACTTACTAGTGGATACCCGACGAAACCGGCTCGTGAACGGCGACCATTCAGTAGTGATAAGAGGAGTGACGACTGATCACACATCCATGAATTTAGTAGTGTCAAAAGACAAAAGCGAGCCATATAGATCGCTTCTAAACGAGTATGCCGATCTGACGAAGGTATCATACGATAACAGAGATCTTAAACATACGGTACAGCACCATATTATAACGAAAGGTCCACCGACTAAATCAAGACCACGAAGGCTAGACCCGAAAAGGTTGAATGTCGCGAAACGAGAGTTCGAAAAGTTGACGAAGCTTGGTATCATAAGACCTTCTAATAGTCCCTGGGCGTCCCCATTGCATATGGTTTCGAAGAAGAATGGGGAAATCAGGCCATGCGGAGACTATAGAGCCCTTAACAAGCAAACGATAGCAGACAGATATCCGATACCACATATCCACGACATTACTACCAATATGGAAGGTGCCACGATATTTTCGAAAATCGATCTCGTCCGAGCTTATTACCATATTCCCGTAGCGGCAGAAGATATATCTAAAACGGCTATAACTACTCCATTTGGGTTATTCGAGTTTTTGCGAATGCCCTTCGGATTAACTAATGCAGCCCAAACCTTCCAAAGATTCATCGATCAGGTCGTCAGGGGTTTGACAGGAGTTCACGCATATATCGATGATATACTAGTAGCTAGCGCTACCAGGGAAGAACATCTACAACATCTACGACAGTTGTTTACGAAACTTCAAGAACATGGCGTCACTATTAACGTGGAAAAGTGTGAATTTGGAAAGGAATCATTGCAATTCCTAGGTCATATGATAAATTCACATGGTATCATGCCAGTTCCGACAGAAGTTGCTGCTATTCGTAATTATCCGTTGCCCGATTCACAAAGAAAATTACGACGATTCTTGGGGCTAATAAACTATTATAGACGATTTATCCCAAACTGCGCAGCAATATTACAGCCATTGACGGACGCCTTGCGAGGACATACTCGAACATTCCGTCTTTCAGCGGATGCTATACAGGCTTTTGAGAACGCTAAGCGAGCGCTAAACGAGAAGATGATGTTAGTACGACGAAAGAACGAAGCACCATTAGCCGTCATGACAGACGCATCGAACTTAGCAGTAGGAGCCGTTTTGCAGCAGTTAGTAAACGGTACATGGGAACCACTTTCATTTTTCTCGAAAAGATTAAATCCTACCCAAACGAGATATAGTACGTTTGGAAGAGAATTATTAGCAATCTACTTAGCAATAAAACACTTCCGTCATATGGTCGAAGGCATAAATTTTACCGTCTATACAGACCATAAACCACTAACGAAAGCGTTAAGTGCAAAGCAAGACAATTATTCTCCGAGAGAGATCCGACAACTGGAGTTCATTTCACAGTTCACGTCCGACATACAGTACGTTAAAGGACAAGAAAACGATGTGGCCGACGCATTGTCACGAGCAACGATAAGCACACTTATGGCAAGTGGAATTGATTATAACGGTCTAGCAAAGTTGCAGGAGAGAGACATCGAGTTAAATAAACTCAGATCCGGTGGTTCAACATCATTAGTACTCGAAGAGGTGCGGTTTGGTAACACGAAAGTAATTTGCGATACATCAACAGGCCGACCGCGACCATTTATCCCGAAAACGTTGCGACACAAAATATTCGAAAGCATGCACAACATGTCACACCCAGGAATAAAAGCCACGATAAAGCTGATTAGTGAACGATTCGTATGGACAAACATGAATCACGATGTACGTAATTGGACACAGGCATGCATGAAGTGCCAAAAAGTTAAGGTACATCGTCATACTAGCTCGGCAGTAGGTCCGTTTTCGCACCCAGACACTAGATTTGAACATATACACATCGATATTGTAGGACCACTGCCCGTTTCAAATGGATACAACTATATCTTTACATGCATCGACAGGTTTACACGATGGCCGGTAGCAGTACCGATAAAAGACACCTCAGCTGAAACGGTAGCTAAAACCCTAGTTGAAAATTGGATTTCTTACTACGGTGTACCAACGATTATCACAACTGATAGAGGAGCACAATTCGAAAGTCGACTCTTTCAGCAGCTTACAGAACTCCTCGGTATTAAACGAATCCGAACGACATCGTACCATCCAATGGCAAACGGAATGGTCGAACGCCTACATAGGCAATTAAAAGCGTCCCTTACAGCCGTCATCGTTAACAACGATTGGTCTAATAAACTTCCCTAGTAATGTTAGCTCTAAGAGCAACAATTAAACAAGACATGGGATGTTGTCCAGCCGAGTTAGTTTACGGAACTACTCTACGGTTACCCGGAGAATTTTTCACTCCAAGTAAAAGTGTCCCGACTGATGTAACCGGCTATGTGCAACGCCTGAGAAAGCACATGAGCGATTTAAAAATAACACCTCCCAGACCACAACAACGACGAGTATTCATACCACAGGAACTACATAGCAGCACTCACGTATTCATTAGAAGAGATAAAGTACAACCACCTCTTCAACCGAGTTACGACGGCCCATTTAAAGTGATAGAGAGGACAAATAAAACGGTTACCATAGAAAAAGCTGGGAAGACAGATGTAATTAGCATCGATCGAGTAAAGCCAGCTTTCATCGATAGCGATAATCAATCAACAAGTACAGACTCATCTAAGATGGTCACACCAGCGAAACACGAGTCCCAAAAATCAACGACGTTAACGCAACAAAAAGACAAGACTCAGATAACAACAAGATCCGGCCGCAGAGTAAGATGGCCCCAACAATATGTTGCTACGATTTTTTATTAATGATCTACTATTTTAAATATTAATTATAACTTCTACCTCATTGTATACACATGCATTATTAAGCTCGTGTTATACGCTATAAAACTCAACGTATCTTATGTACCCTTACACTTATGCGTATAATTTTTGTTTAAAATGTAAAGGCAATACCGCATTCCTTCTATTTCTTGCTATTATTTTATGTAACCTCACGGACGGGCGCAAATCAAATGTACAGCACACACTAACTTCATCTTAATTTTGTATAAGCCAATTTTTTCAAACAATTGAACTACCCTATTCAGTCTACTATTTTTTTTTGCAAACACAGACATTTTCCATATATCTTTGTTTGCAGGGGGGAGCTATTATAGCGACTCACGTGCAAATGGGTTTATTCTCATTTAACTCAGTTAAGCCCTTTTGCTAACTTATTTAGCGGACAAAGCCATCCGCACTATAACAATTTATTGTACCCTTATTATTATTTTGTGCTTGTATGAAATACGCATGCTTGAATATTGCTTACGGCCTACGCATTTATTCACTCTGCTAGTCTCACTACTAACCGCTTATTTGATTCGATTACTCATTAATTTCACATGCTATATATATGTCCATGTTATTCATATGGCTGACTCTGACTCGCTTTCTCGCTCGCTTGATTGTACTCGATTGCTTATATTCGCTCAGTCGCTCGCTTGCCTGTTTGCCGTTCGGCACAACTCTTAATGCTCGTTTAATGCATCTGTAATTTTGGACATCTGTGTGTGTGGTCTCGAAATAAACGTAATCAACGCTTCGTATTAGCCTTCTGAATAATATACCGTTGGGGTTGAATAGGACGGTTATCAAGACGAATTGTATACGAAGTTTAAGGGATATATCGAATACCGACCACCACACCTCTACAGATACATAACAAGTAAGCGAATTTAGAGACCTACTAAACATTTTGTTATCAACCATCTACTGAAACTCGTCAATTGTTTCACTAAAATAACTTGTGTACTTTTTCAATGATGTAACCTTAATCTTTAGTAATGTTTAGGTGTAAAATACCGACAGTGAATTTTGATAGAAAACAAAATGATTTGCTTAATTTACAGTGTTTATTCTCTACTGGTTTAAAAAAGTTCTACGGATATAACATGTTGCAAATTAAGCACACATCAGTGAATAAATAAGACGTTTAAAGATTGCAAAGTGTATATTATTTCATCCGGAATGTATAACCCAGTCAAATTTGGAACTGTCCATTGAATAGTTTCTTAACCAGATAGCCAGATACATAATAGGATTCTTTGGTCTAATGATAAGTAATTCGGTTAGTGCTAGACACAATGGTTGAGCTAAAAACGATGAGAAAATATGAAGAATGAGTAATTTAGTTAAATTTAGTTGATCAGTAATCAAATGAATCAATTTGAACCTTGACTCAGATAATTAAACTTCTTTCATTCTCGCGTGTCTGCCGTACTGTTACTTGGGTGGGTGAAATAGATAGCTACTGAAGATGTATGAATGACACCTCTAGTTTGGATGCTGGAACAATCCTGAATACGCTTCTTCCAATCACTGCTTCCTAGAAGATAATTCTGGGAAATGTTGAATTATCTGTTATATTCTGATAGGATACTTGCTGATTTGATTGATTTTAGCATGTTTTCCTAGGTTTCGACAGTCAACGTCACACCTATAGGCCCCCCAGTTTTCTGTACCTCTTCCATATTTTCTAATTTATTGCGAGAAAGAAATGACAGTCGTTCTCCTTTATAGTGGTTCGAAATCATTTTAACGAATCACTTTGTTTCAAATAATGATCTACGAGGACATTCCAATATCAGGCTACAAAATAGTGAAACATTAACATATAACATAGTTGAAATGAATAATCACTGCAGATGTGTGAATGACACATTTTTACTGGGAACACTGGATTATTCCTAGAAGAATCTTCAGAAGTTGAAGGATGCTGACTATATTTCATTTAATCAGTATTCGCTAGAGCTATTAGAGAGTATTAAAAAAAGAGCGTTGTGTCATCATTCCGACTGGATACTTACTGATTTTGTTACCAACGTTTCCGGAAACTTCCAGAACCGTAATGTCACACCTAAAAATACCCTAGTTTCCTGCATACTAACCCAACGTCGAAGTAGAGCTTCATTCACACTTTCTGCTAAGATTTAAAAAGTTGAAGAGTGTTGTGGACTAGGATGTAGTTTAGATTGTTCGGATTAATTAATTCTTCAAATAAAGTGCACATCAATGGTATTTTGTGGTATAAGAGAATCAGTAAAGAAAACCTAGTGCTGACTAAGTTTAATGAAGTCTTCTATATTTCACACTGTTCATTTAACAACGTACAACCTTCGCCTCATGTTCTATCATGTTGATATTTAACGGACAGCTCGGATAAAGCGATCACCAGTGCGTTTTCATTAACATAGTATGAATATGCACTTAACTGAATATGAAGTACTTTCATTCCCTGAACTAAGCAACGTCTCTAGTCAAGGATACACGTCTTCCAAGATGTAAATATGGTCATCGGTGATTTCCTAGAGAAGTGATACATTTAAATCCATTTACTCAGTGACCAAGAAATAAAGTACATTTTTTTCTGAGCAAATGGAATATTGATAAGTGTCATACGACATGCATCAAACATACAAATGAATGAGTCCCCCAAAGTAAATGACCAAGTTTCAAATATGAGCAACCGTCAGTCTCGAGGAGTTAAATAACCGTGCAAAATAAGGGGACAAACTTTAGTTCCTTTTAATACGTTCTATGAAATTCATTTATCACTACAGTTGTTTACGTGCATCGTGATCAGTGAGTGGCACTATTAATCGAACTGATGTTGTTTTAAGAACCGATGAAGGAAAGTGAACATACTGAATTGTAAGCGGTTGCTTATTTGTGTCCATTAGCTGACATTCATATGAAAATATGTCTCGCGAAATTGACCACTACTTCATATCTTCAGTTGTCTCGCACTTTACTCTCCCAACACGATCAGTTTTCAGGGTAACTGATTACTTATCACTAAATCTGGCAGAAATATCTTACAGTAGTAACACTGGAAATGAACTTCAGTAACTGAAAAAATCGACTATGTGAGGTCAGTATACACAAAAATTCCAAATTCGTTTACTCTGAACCAACTTACATTAGAAAGTGCACTGTCGTTGGTATAACGTTGGAGTTAACACCCTAAATCTTTCAATTTTCGCAGTTTTTCTTCCCAAAACTCTGTAAAGTTTTCATCGATTCTCCTCATAAAATTTGAAGCTGAAGATTAGAAACAGATTTCATTCAACCTACTTCGGATTGTTTACTTACAAAATGAAGACTACTACTACTACTACTAATACTAATACAAATACTAATGCTACTACTACTACTACTACTACTCATAATCATAATAATAACACTATTATTATTACTTGAGGCTAGCGACCCCATCCCGTAGAAAACTAACACGCTAAAAAAACGCCAACCAGAAAAAAATTATTCAAACCTTTTAAACTCTGCCCTGGGAGTCAGAAGGTCTTCATTTAGAAGAACTATGACGCCTCATGATGAAAGCCGAATTCCTTCGGAAGTCACGAGGCCGATGCCCCTTCTGACAACCACAGCAACCATTTATTTAGGTGCATGGAATGCCCGTACAATGTGAGAGACCGGGCGAGTCATCCACATTGCTGCAGAAATGAAAAGATACAACATGAAGTTGCTTGGCATCAGTGAAACACATTGGACGCAAGTTGGACAATAACGACTAGCTTCAGGGGAGCTTCTGTTATACTCCGGTTGTGAAGAAGAAAATGCCCCATATGCACAAGAAGTCGCATTGATGCTATCCAAACAAGCACAAAATGCACTCATAGGATGGGAATCTCATGGACCAAGGATCATCAAAGCCTCGTTCAAAACAAAGAAATAGGGCATTTCAATGAACGTCATTCAATGCTATGCGCCTACCAACGACTACGATGGAGACGCTAAAGATCAATTCTACAATCGGCTGCAGTCAATCGTCGGGAAGTGCCCAACAAAGGAGTTGACCGTTCTGATGGGAGATTTAAATGCCAAGGTTGGAATGGACGACACTGGATATGAAGACATCATGGGACGCTACGGACTGGGAGAAAGGAACGAAAATAGTGAGAGATTTGCAAACCTATGTGCCTTCAATAAACTGGTCTCAGGCTGTACTATATTCCCACATAAACACATTCACAAAACCACATGGACTTCACCGGATCACACCACGCAAAACCGAATCGACCATATCTGCATCAACAAAAAGCTCAAGAGGACGATGGAGTATGTGAGGATCAAGAGAGGAGCTGATATAGCATCAGATCACCACTTGCTGATCGCCAAGATGAAATTGAAACTCAAGAAGCACTGGACAATGGGGCGAACAATATCACAAAATTTCAATACGGCATTTATTCGGGATACTGACAAACTCAACGAATTCAGGATAGTCCTCACCAATAGGTTCCAGGCCTTTCATGATCTACTCAATGGAGAAGGAACTACTGTGGAGAGCAACTGGAAGGGGATCAAAGAGGCAATCACTTCAACATGTCATGAGGTCCTGGGTCACAAGAAGCACCATCACAAGGAATGGATCACTGTTGATACACTGGATAAGATTCAAGAAAGGAGGAACAAGAAGGCAGCAATCAATACCAGTCGAACAAGAGCAGAAAAAGCCAAGGCACAAGCTGAATACACAGAAGTAAACAAACAAGTGAAGAGGAGCATCAGAACCGACAAACGTAAATATGTGGAAGATTTAGCAACGACGGCGGAAAAGGCTGCAAGAGAAGGAAACATGAGACAATTGTATGACACGACAAAGAAACTCTCTGGAAATCGCCGCAAACCAGAACGACCAGTGAAAAGCAAGGAAGGCGAGGTAATCACCAACATTGAAGAGCAACAAAACAGGTGGGTAGAACACTTCAAAGAACTCTTGAATCGACCAGCTCCACTGAACCCACCCAACATCGAAGCAGCACCCACGGACCTCCCAATCAATGTTGGCCCACCAACAATTGAAGAAATCAGCATGGCCATCAGACAAATCAAGAGTGGCAAAGCAGCAGGACCGGACAACATTCCAGCAGAGGCACTAAAAGCAGACGTAGCGGCAACTGCAAGGATACTCCACATTCTCTTCAATAAGATTTGGGATGAGGAACAAGTACCGACAGACTGGAAAGAAGGACTTCTGACCAAAATACCGAAGAAAGGCGATCTCAGCAAGTGTGATAACTACAGGGGCATCACTCTTCTCTCAATACCGGGAAAAGTCTTCAACAGGGTATTGTTAAACAGGATGAAGGACTGCGTAGACGCCCAACTTCGTGACCAACAGGCAGGATTCCGTAAGGATAGATCGTGTACAGACCAAATCGCAACTCTACGGATCATTGTGGAACAATCAATTGAATGGAATTCATCACTCTACATCAACTTCATTGACTACGAAAAGGCATTTGATAGCGTGGACAGAACAACACTATGGAAACTTCTTCGACACTACGGCGTGCCTCAGAAGATAGTCAATATCATACGGAATTCCTATGATGGATTACACTGCAAAATCGTGCATGGAGGACAGTTGACAAACTCGTTCGAGGTAAAGACCGGTGTCAGGCAAGGTTGCTTACTCTCACCCTTTCTCTTTCTCCTGGTGATCGACTGGATCATGAAGACGTCAACATCTGAAGGGAAGCACGGGATACAATGGACATCTAGGATGCAGTTGGACGATCTGGACTTCGCAGACGATCTGGCCCTTCTATCCCAAACGCAACAACAGATGCAGGAGAAGACGACCAGTGTGGCAGCAGCCTCAGCAGCAGTAGGTCTCAATATACACAAAGGGAAAAGCAGGATTCTCCGATACAACACAGCATGCACCAATCCAATCACAATTGACGGAGAAGATTTGGAAGATGTAAAAACCTTTACATATCTGGGCAGCATCATTGATGAACAGGGTGGATCTGATGCAGATGTGAAGGCGCGGATCGGCAAAGCAAGAGCAGCATATTTACAACTGAGGAACATCTGGAACTCAAAGCAACTGTCAACCAACACCAAGGTCAGGATTTTCAATACAAATGTCAAGACAGTTCTACTGTATGGGGCGGAAACCTGGAGAACTACGAAAGCCATCATCCAGAAAATACAGGTGTTTATTAACAGTTGTCTACGCAAAATACTTCGGATCCGTTGGCCGGACACTATTAGCAACAACGTACTGTGGGAGAGAACAAACCAGATCCTAGCGGAGGAAGAAATCAGGAAGAAGCGCTGGAAGTGGATAGGACACACATTGAGGAAAGCACCCGACTGCGTCACAAGACAAGCCCTCATATGGAATCCTCAAGGCCAAAGGAGGAGAAGAGGAAGACCAAAGAACACATTACGCCGAGAAATGGAAATAGACATGAAAAAAATGAACAAGAATTGGATGGAACTAGAAAAGAAGGCCCAGGAGAGAGTGAGTTTGAGAATGCTGGTCGGCGGCCTATACTCCATTGGGAGTAACTGACGTAATTAAGTTAGTAATTATTATTACTGTTTCTACTACTATTACTACCGATTTCTTCTGTATATTGAATTCTTTTCAATAGTAAATCATTCAAATTGTAGTGACGAGAAATACTAATCATGTAATAGTGCAATGAAATCAATTCAGAATATTCATTTTGTAATATATGTTTGTATTTTCCTATTGATGTTGAGGACTGAAATTGGTCAGTTTCTTATTGGCATATATGCATCCTGTGTGGTTACCTCAATATTGCCTTAAGTCACAAGTATTATAAGCAAAGATGGATGGTGTCTATCAGGACTCATTAACTATGTAGATAATGCGATGGAGTTTAAAGCGAACGGTACAAGGTTCGAGTCCCAGAGCGGACATCAACTCTGGTGCAGGTGCATCCAACTGACAAGTCCCAAATAGGAAGAAACGCGCGTCCTGGATTCCGATGCTAGCCACCATCCATCTTTGCTTATAATTCAGAAGATAGTTTTATTTCGACTAACTGACAAATCCTGAAATCATGGATATGACCGACTACGTTTATCAATAAATGAGAGCGATGTAACCAGACATTGTAATATCTACAGACTTTAATGAGCACGATGACTATCGTTTGGAAATGAAATGGAAAACATAGTGAACTAATAATAGAGTCGGTTTGATTTCGATACTCAGTCACGTATAAGTGAAGTGTTTTGCCTAATTGAATACATGAAGGACATGACTTCGCATGTATCATGTATTTAGTTTGTTACTGTTACATCTGTAAGCATTCTGAAATAGATGACCTTTCTAGGAGATTCTATTGGATTGCAATAGAACATATCACGTGATTGCATTAAGATATGAAGGAAACAGTCACTGATCACGTCTCAAACCATCTATCCAATTTTGTCTCAACTAAGTAGCTATGCCACAAACCAATTTCACGTTCAGTGAAATTTTCACTGGAAATGACTAGACTGAATGTTTAAATCTGTGGAGTGAAGTGGCGAAATTCGTTACTGAAAAATGGAGAAAACGAAGATTTCAAAATTGAATTGAAAGTAACCAAGTCATCGAACGGTCATTTTGTCAGTGTTAACTGGGTACATGATCTGGAAAATTTAGTTGTAGTGATTATCACTGATCAACCAGAACGATGATTATGAGAAATTTAGTAGTCCTTAGCCTGTTTATGGTTGTACAGACAATATTTACTGTTAATTAGGATACTAAATACTTAAACACTGGATAAAATTTATAGGATGCAAAGTAAGACTAAAGATCTTCAATCAGATTGCTGTGATAAACTTTCACAAATCATGGATAAGAGAGGCACTGAAGCACTAGTAATGAGTGTATATGCAAATCGAAACCTTCAAAAGAAATATGAAACCCTTCAAATGTGATAATGAATTGTATTAGCGAGTGTGGGCATTTACTAAATTGCGATTCAGAAATTCATAATAAATTTGTGCAGCAAACAATATCTCTGTTTTCGATGAATAGGATGTGAAAACAAGGAAACTGTATGTCGTATAATTTAGGTCAACGAATATTTACATAACTAATATAGTAGATATGTAAACGAAATGAGTGACTCACCTAAATCTTTGAATATAGCTGCCTGAGGTGAACAGAATGGCAAATCTGGTACTGGATCAAAACGGCCCTGTTTCACCATTTCACGGTATTGTTGGACGGCTTCAAATAAAAAGAAACATATTGATAAGAAATTAAGATGTGAATTTATAAAACTGTAAACATGTATATCGAGAAAATTATCACAGTAACTTTTGAGTAATAATAGAAGAAATTAGTGACAAATGATGAAACGCGTTGCGAAAAGTTACTTAATTTGGGTCGTTTCAGGAGTTCACTGATCATACAATTTCAAACAGTTGTTTGTAGTGTATGAAGCTAAACAGTCTCCTTAATAAAGAACCTCAAAGATGATCCAGTGAATGGTCGGCTTTATAACCAAATCACATTATTCCGAGTTTCGTTCTAGTTAACTGATTATTATGGTTTGCTTATAGCGGCATTTGTAACCTGGTATTTTATGGTTTAGACAAAAGTGAATGATAAAACAGTGGATGTCTGACGAAATATAAATGCACACTGCTTGCAATCGTAATGTAATGTAATAACATGACCGTAATTCCCTGGAAACTGGAAATTCACTTACTGTCTTCCTGATTGCCAATCTCTTGAGTAACTTCATCGTTATCATCATTTGGTGCATTCTCAGTAGCATCCGTACTCACATTGTTCACAGCAACTTCATCAGGAGTAGGTTGGATGGGTTTGATGGAAACAGAAACACTGGAGACTTTGTTTGCTGGATTGAGTTTAATCAATCTAGAACGTTCAGGTGCCTTTGGTTTCGACTTGAACAAAGTCGCTTCGTCAACATTGTTGTCTACTGCTTGCAAATCCGCTTCGCTGGGAGCCTCTTTCAAGATTTCCTTGGGATTATCAAGACTGAATGTAATATCCTGTTTCTTCTTCTGTTCATTCTTTACATCTTTTATTTTCGTTTCGACTAGACGCCGTGCAGCTTCATTTAGGACCTCAGTTGTGTTTTGGTTGTTCACAAAACCCGAGCTGCTCTGTTGGTTCTCGACATCAGGATTCTCGTTCGTTGGTGAAGTTGTATTAGAGAGTGGCTGAGATTGACGACGTTTCTGACCGCTTTTACTTGAGCGTCTACTCCCACCTCTACTGGATTTTCTGTCTTTTTTCTCAGATATCTTCTCATTCATTTCTAGTTCTCCATCATCCTTCGGAGATGCAGGAGCAGACTCTTCCTCGGTAGTCCCACTTGCGTCGGACAAGTTGATGGAGAATTTCGCAGAGTCATCCGAATTTTCCGATGGTATATCATCGTCTTTGAGCATGTCTTCCTTGAGAAGCTCAGCAAAATTGCGACTCCCCCCATCAGTCGTGTCTTGTAAGACGAATTCTGGTTTCCGACCTGTGACGAAGTATGTCTTCATGTTCCCTTTACCCTATCAACGTTAAAAAAATGTTTTGAGAGTGGTTCAGGATCTTCAAGCTGTGTATAAATTTATGAAACGTATGTTTAAGATACACGGTACATGTATGGTGATAGTTAAAGAGAAATATTTCTGACTTAAAACTTTAGAACTTCTCTTCCGAATACTTATTTTAACCGATTTTCCATAAATTTCATCTATGAAATTGCTCTTCTGACTGTGTGAATATGGTGAAAACCTTTTCACATCTTTACACTCTATGTTATTAGTCAGAAATTAGTTAAACATTACCAAGTTTATGTTACAATTGATGAATTGCTTCAATCCCTTGAGAGTTGAACAAAGGAAATTAGGCAAATAGTACTTATGGTGTGTTATAAAATTCCACATTCAGAAATAATTTTGAATTTCGATTCAAAACTGTTATTCACAATTGTAATTGTTTGTATTTTCATTTTCTGTTGACTTACAAACTCCTCGAATGAATGTACCGATAGTAAATGTCTTATTTCCTGAAAAACCTAGTGACTATCATGACTCAGTTGCTGTACGGTTTACAACCCTGTGTTCAAAGTATTAGGAGTTGGGTTTGAGTTTCAGCATGACATCAAGAAGGATTCCGGTACATTGCACCAACTAGTCACAACCGGGAGGAAACAATTATTTTCGATTACTCCGTTTACCATGATCCAAAATATGAATCACTCTTAGTCATATGAGGTCCGAAATAATATCAGAGAATAGAAGATCTCTGATGAAAATATTCTCACAAATGAACGTTCATAAATACATAGTTCGAAATCTAAACACTTCATAATACTTTACAAGTAGATGTATATGTGAGTCATGCTACGAAGAACAGCTCAGAAATGAGTTGATAAATTTTCAGATTACAGTGAATAGATGTTATAAGTGAACTTGCTAGAAAAAATTTATTTCAATTTTAAAAAGTGAAAAGACTCAGAATAAACCTCGTCTATCTTGAACTTAGAAGTTGTTGAATAACAAGCATGATAAATGATTCATCATATTTATCGTCACCTTTCTCACTAGACTCTTAAACATGTTTATCAAATAAACCCTGAGTTTATCGTTGTAGTTATCTGTTGATTTATAGATTAGAACACTGAATACTTTGCTCAGTTATGTCAAAAGCCGTTTCATCACACTTGAATTCATAGTTTATTGGTAGGTCTAGTGGGGTTATATGAAGTTCCTATCATTTATGCAGTAGTAAGTGAATCTTGATGGGTCATTGTTCATCAATAGGATCGCTCAGAGAGCTTCAACTTCTTATCCGATAGCATAATCCACTCCTATATTTATGGAACTTCAGAAGGATGAGTAAATGAGACATCTGTTCCAGTTACGCTAAGTAAACTTTTGTAAATTAACCAATTGTCTACACTAAGAGATCTCTTAATTAATGAATCATTTAATAGAGTTGTCTCGAACATACTGGTAAATCTCACCTAAATAATTGACTTCATGAATCGGTTAGTCTCAAGCTATACAATAGTTTGTCGTATCTAAATCGGTATCAACCACCATGTTGCGACATAGATCCACGAAAAATCTGATTTCAGTCAACCATAATCGAATGTGAATTCATGATCGACTCACAACCCAACACTTGTACGATAACGCTCTTTTCTTAAAAATATGTACATATATAATTACTTCAATCAGAATATAGATTAATGATAAGCAAATTCGCAGCATAAAATACCTTGATTGGAATTTCTCCTCGACATTCTATTTCATATGGATAAGGTGATAAAGACTGAGCACAAGATTCGCTAATATGCACTTTGTCTGGCTGGTAATGTGAGAAATGTACATGAAAGTGAAGAATAAATGTTGAATAAAAAGCAATAGTGTAGCATATGATGATGGTTTTATTTTCGGAATAAAAAGCTATGGAAAAATGACTTGAATAGAATTTACCGATTTACATAATATTGATTGAACCAGTGAGGAAATTTTGCATTTATCGTTTGATCACTCTAGATCTATTTGAGAAATGAAAGAATTTGTTTAACTTGATTTGAAACTAGATTCAAAGTTTAGGGTTGCAACATTCCGAATACAATATTTCCTATACGAATTTGTCGGCATTTATGACTAGTTTTTTTCTAATAATGATTGAAATACTGTCTCATTATGAGAATTGCGTCTGTAGAAAGTCTAATCGATGAAACTGTTGGCTCATCAATTTTCGAAAATGATTAACCTTGAATCAGTGTTTCAGTGATCAGAATTGCATGTAAAATATATTGAGATAGATTGGTAAAACAAAGACCATTGGAAACTTTTCAATCTATGTTCTAACAATTGCTGTCTTACAGATCTTATGTATCTGTATGTGTATTGTTTCAAGTAACAATGAAAATATTCACAACACAGTCATAATTTCTTCACAAATGGAAGCTCAATTGTATGTACGTCAAAAACAATGAGCATTTATTGACGAGCAAATAATGGCTTTCTCTCCTAATATGAGTTTTCACAACAAGTTACTTATCTGTTAGGTCGACTTCACTCACTCTGACCACAGAATTTCCAGACGAAAAACTAAAACAATCTGAAAATCTTGTCCACGTTTTAATAGTGACAATAGTAATTATACTGTGGAATTCTCATTTTGATTCAGAAATGAACTTATCCAGTAAGCCAGTGCAAACCACCATTGAGAACCTGATTCATTCATGATATCATTCCAAACTCAACAGTCTCAACAACCCTATTCTGATAAATTATTTGCCGGATACATGATAACCCTTATTAGGAGTTCTTCAGTCTCAACCAACGTACACATACTCATCATTTGTGGCGGTGTGCTTGCCCTGTCTCCGTTTCATATTGTTCATAGAATGCCAACGGGTAATAACAAGTCAGTTTCTGGTGGTCAGACAATGTTACCGAATTCAGTTAGTCATGGATTATCCGGAGAGTGAACGGGCTGTTGAAACGCATAAGGGACTGTATACGTCCAATGTTTATGTCAACATTGGAAGTCGATTGTTGTCCTAGAAACAATCATCTTCGGAACGTTCATAATCCTCACTAAACCACCGGAAACTTGTTGTCTTCTTCACTGTGTTATCAGTATAAGCAGCATCTCACACTTGAGGAACTACCTATGCATTTTCATATCTTTCACCAACAACATAAATATCTCAGTCCTCCGATATATTCCACAGATTATGTAGCTCAATAACAAATAACATGAACCGATCATTATGTCCAAACTTTAAAGATGCAAAAAGTGATTGTAATCATTATTTTATCGACTACATTGTCTCTACGTGAGTAGATAAGTTAACTTACTGAACCATGACTCATCATTCTACTTGAAGTATTCACTGTATCACCAAATAAACAATATCGTGGTGTTTTATAACCGACTACACCAGCAACAATTGGACCAGTATGACATCCAATGTAAAGATGTAAGTTTTCATTTGTATAAACAGTTTTATTCTTATTATTAGCTGGGATATTTCCAATTGACTCTGGCCAGTAGAGACTGAGTAGAGTTACTTCTATGATTTCTAATGCTGTGTCGACTATATGTGCAGCATGTAATGGGGTCCTGTGTGGTGCTCCAGAAACCAACATATAACTGTCATTGACTGTTTCAACCTTTCCAAATATAAATGAGTAAAGTGGAAATTATTTGTTAACAGAAATCAAACTTGTAGTTGGATTTTCATCGCAAAATATAATTCAAATCAAACAGAAACTACATGATTGTTTTTTCTTGTCTTTGGATACATCAACATCAAATTTTGGAGTGGGTTCTTGTTAATTCATCAATAAAAGTACTAATTTCGAATTACGAGACTAATAAGATGAAATGATTGTTAGTGTTTACAGGTCACTGTGATATAGAAATACAGAAGAACCGGACTATATGGTAGTTATTACTGATTCCTTAAGTGGTATATTCAGTATAAACAAGTAGAAATATCAGTGTGCTTATTCGTCAGGTGATAAATTTTAAACTCAGGATGTGAAAGTGAGATAGTATTTAACATGTTAGAATGAGTGAAATTAGTTGGATGAAAACATTAGCCCAAGTGCGAGCTATGCGAGTAGATGTATCTTTCTCACCAAACCTCACTTATGAGAAGTAACAATCTGACAATATTGGCTTAAGTGTAGAAAACATAGTAGGAGCAAACGACAGCCCCTTTACCGCATCTTATCAAAGATAAGATCAAGTGTTTTGAAAAGTACTGAGCTAAGCTCTACTTATAAATCTTGTCAGCGAACCCTCACCAATTAAATGTTGCTGTACATGTATTTGTTAGACGGTTGATTTGAAATATACAGTTGTTTCAATAAAATGAAAATGACTAGATTTTATTGGAGAGTCCCGCTGATAGTTTTCCTCATGATATTCAGTCTTTATGATGAGATAAAAATTCAGACATACATCTGTTATAGGTATACCGAGCTGACTTCGATGTTTAGTAAACTACACAGTGTTTTATTTTGTGAAAATAAACTATTTGGTTTGATGTTCAATTTCTAGCTCACATACTGTCTTATGAACATGTTTTCAATGATCGGCTTGTCTACCAATCCATTTAGTTACCAGTAAGTACAGTAGTGTTGGTACCAGCTTATCACATTACTGTCTCTCAGGTTTGATCAGAAGTAAACATGAGATAGATATTGGTCAAGTCATCTCCTAGGTAGGTAGGTAGGCATCAGAGTTATTTTGAAGTTACATTGACTGTGTCTTACATTTTAGAAGTACAGTAATATTACAGACCTGTTGTTGTTTGACTGTTTTATCTTCACAGTAGTAATCCACTCGGAGAGACTATCAGACTGACATTATCCACTCTAAAATGTTGATCTGAATAGAATGGTGGATCATATTCCCTACTGAAAACATATCATCGTCCGAAGTGGTTGGGTTTACTGGTTTTCTATACATGTCGGTCTTCCGGTTGAATTTGTGAATCTGATCAAAGCTCTTCAGTCCGTTAAGTGTGTTGGTAAATTCTAGTCATATATGATGACCTGACTGGTGTTTTGAAGCAATGAATGAACGCATCTGGAGATAACCTCAAGTAGTCTATTTGAACCAGCTTCATTTATGAAGAGAAAGTTTGTGCTTAAACGACTATTGTTTATTTGTTTCTGTCAGCTACACTGCATTTGTGGTTTCAGTTTGGATACATGCTGAAGTTCTAGATCAACATACTCCTCAAAAGCTTTCTTATTTGACAGTAGTGAGTTGAGTGCACCGAAAACACTCAATGTATTCCAATACATTCACTAGATCTTGTTTTGCATTCTCTACCTAGTTTAACAAATTGTATAATACTAAATCCACACTATACGTCAACTCTGTTACAAACGTCCTTTCAATAGTTTACAACCTTCTTTCAAACTCTGTATAAGCTTCGGGACTAATATCAGTTTAAGTATTGAAAAGTTGGTTTTAACTGTGAAGTATTCGATTACAATGGAGAAACATATACATCAGACATGTGATCTGTGATGAACCAATGTTGATTATTCTTGATGAATACGATTTGAGTAATGCATGGATTATATTACTAAAAACATCTAGATACTTGAATAGTATGGTTGGATAAAAATATATTTACCTTGTAGACTTTATGATTTTCAGTCAAAGCGTCGTAGAGAGAATACATTCTGTTCAACAACTCTATCACTTGTTCAACACCTATGTGCATACATTTTGCAGCGAAGTTCACCACTTTCGTAAAACATATTGTCACTTCATCAAATGTCTAAGAGGGAATGAGAGATTGGTTGGATGATAAAAATTCGTTAGATTTTGTCAGTATATGAACATAGATACTAGTCGATAAGCAAATGCGTTAGTTAGTATAAGCTGGGAAACGAACATGCCACCATTGTCGACGTTAGAATGAAATGTTCAGACGTGAGATGTTTGGATGTTTTGAAGAATAATTTTACTACATAGTTAGATGACATTTCTAATGGGAGAATGCTTCAATCTAGAACTGTTCTAGTGTGGACATTCTAGTCAAAATCCCGACTGGCACTTCTGAATTGGTGAAAATTATAGCTGTCATCGTTGTTATCATTATCGAGGTCAGGCTCGAACATTTTAGAGAAATTGAGCATTGGGTAGAATGTTATGAGTAATGTAGTGCTATAATTGTGATATATCCATCAGTAGAAAGTGAAATTTCTGACGTTTGGTGCAAGCAAATTTCTCAGAGTAAATTTACATATGACCGAATAAATGACCGGCCGTCGTTTAAGTGAGCTAATTTTTCACAACAGACACTGTTGGTAGTGTATAAACAAAGTATCAACTTGAAGAAGCGTTTCCATGAGTGTCCTAAAATTGATATAATTTACTGACATATATACATACATAATCGGTGTTAATCAGCCAGATATTTACTTGACATGTTTTTACATTGGAAATATCAAATGCATACAGGAAATTCATTTCCAATACACACAACAGTATCTTGAGTTCGATGTTGAGATTTCTATCAAATATCTGCATACTTATCAACCAGTGATTAGAAGTACAATAAGTCTAAGAAAGTACCTATCTAAAATCGAGAGAATAGGATCACATGTTGGAGGATACACGTGCACTCATGAATTTGCAACGAGGAAGTTTCCTCGGCATATCGTTGAGTATCATCTATTTCCCAAAATCAATGAAATGTGACTAATGTTGTAAAAATAAGGTGATGTTTAGGCATAAATGTTGAATATCAGAAATAGACTGTTTAAGTATTTCGTTACATGAAGTATTTGATTCCAACCAAAGTGTTCATATCTGAACATCATCAATATAACCGTTTCTATAGCATGAATAGCTTTGGAAAAATATAATTACAAGCTAAAATGATGTTAACGAACCTGAATGGTATCGATTGCTGGAGTGCCGTTTCGAATTTTCCTGGCCACCGTACTAGGAATACATTGATACAACAATTCATCAGTAACTTTCCTAATCTTTTCTAATTGCATCATACTCTTCTCCATTTGCTTAGCCTTGTGACGTTGCTTTGAAAACAAACAGTAATGAAACGAAGTTAATGCATCAGTTCAGCTCAGTTAATACATGAATAATATTTATATCTGAAAAAAATGTTGTCGATATATTTACTCGTGGTGATTTGCTATTCATACGATTAAAAAAACAGGACATTTGTGATAGGAGATGTTAGCTAGCTCGTGCCGCAGTTTCAGTTACTAAATGTTTCATTGGTAACTGTTATATTGCTATTTGGAAGTAGACACTATGTGGTGGTTGGAGGTAGTCAACAGGAAACCCTTAACCCGGGTTTCGTGCTACTTGGCACTCGTCAGCAAGGTGTACCTGTAATCTTGAGAGAACTAGTGTTCCCGTGTCACCCAGCCCCACAGTCAGAGACGTTACCACTGGGCTATCCGGGCCGCGACGACCTTTCGTAGGACTGAGATGTAATCACAATTGACTGATTACTGAGCGGTGATCAATGTCATGTGTGTCAAGTCCTTCTTAGTGTACATCGAATGCCATCGAACACGTTGCAATGTGGCCAATAGTCTAGGTGACTCGACATTGCGTGAGATACCTTGCTGACTAGTGACAAGTAGCACGAAACCCGGGTCCAGGGTTTCCTGTTAACTACCTCCAACCACCATCTAATCTCAACATAGTGCGCGCAATGTCGAGTCACCCAGACTGGTGTCTACATTGTGATATAATCAACGGCATTCGATCTGCACTAAGAAGGACTTGATACACGTGATAGTGACTGTTCAATTTCAGTCCTAAAACATCAATGGGAAGATTCAAGTAAAACAATACCAAGGAAGTTAAACTTCACCCCATTGCACAAGCAAGTGGCTATGAGGACTCAGTAGCTAAGTGGATAACGTGATGGCGTTTGAAGCGAACGGTATTGAGTTCGAGTCCCAGAGTGAACATTAACTCTGAGATGCAGGTACATCCAGCTGACGAGTCCCAAACAGGACGAAACGCGCGTCCTGGATTCCACTGCTAGCCCCTATCCATCTTTGCTTATAGATATAACTGTGTTTAAAGTCACGTTACAAGTCCCCATTTTTATTAATCATCATAACTTGTTTCAAAGAAATGAAATAAAACATTAAATGAGGAGTACAAATCTTTGGTTTATTGACACAATTACCTAATGCGGTGGTAAAATATCCGAACATTACTCAAACTACTGACAAATGTCAAGTAGTAAAGTGAATTGGGGAGATAAGAAATGAGTGTGTTAGATGGAAAATAGATCTAACACATGAAACTCAAATGCATGAACAGTTTTCTTTAATTACAACCATACATTTCTAACTTAATGAACCAGATATTTGAATTTCAAATCAAATGTGATTAGTTGTATATTTTCTTCAGAATGAAATATTTGAAAGGTACATTTGTCGTCGAGATGACCTGATTAGCAACGGCTAATGTCAACGTTGCTTTTTGACCAAATCCATCATGAGTTCGGGAGAATATAAGGATTTTGATGTTCATTAAAAACCTTTGTTCGTGATTATAGAATTTTAGTTATCTTGAAATGAATTAACAGTTAGAATATAAATCTTTCCTGAATAATGCAGGTAAATATTACTATTTTGAACGATGATGAGTATAATTTGATTACTTTCAAGTATCACCATAAATTATTCATAGATCGCTTGTGTGTCTGTTACTGAGAAATATTTTCCATATTTATTTACGTTAACCTAAGTTTTAGTAATTTCCTACGTCATTTTTTGTCGTCAATACTGAAAAATCTGGCTTTGTTGTTGGCTGACAGTTGTTTTGATTTTTAGAATTGCCTCATTTGTGAGAATATTCTTTCTTAGCAATCCATGACTTCACATCTGCATCAGAACTCATTTGTTTATCATTGATACTGCTCAAGTACTTAAAAGCCTACAGCTCTTACAGATATTCTCAATCAAGTTGAATTTGATTTGTGTGCTCATTGTTGTACTTTGGGATCTTGGTTTTTAACTTTTTGGATGTTGAAACCTACTTCTCCGGAGGTTCTGTTACAATGGCTGCCTTCGTCTATATTTGTTGTTGTGTATATGAGAATTTGGACTGGATCATCTGTGAAGTCCAAGTCATCTGGCTGGATCCAGGCAGCAACCGTTGGAAAAAGAAAACTTAAGACTATGAAGCCTTGTCTGACACCAGTCTTCACTTGGAATCTGTCAATCAACTACCGTTCATGCATATGGTGGTGATGATGTTCTCACGTATCCCATATTGTCGAAGTAGATTATACTCTGTCAAATGCCTTCCCAAAATCAGGGAAGTGCATCTGCAGTAACGAGTTCCATTCAAATGATTGTCTAACAGCTATCCATAGTGTCAGGATTTGGTCGACACATGGTCTATCGTTACGAAATCCAGCTTGCTGATCTCGAAAATGTGTGTCCATTAAGCATTTTGTTCGACTCAACAACACTGTGTTGAAAACTTTCCCTATCATTGACAGCAATGTGTTGTCTCCTCAGTTTTCCCACCAAGGTCTCCTCTTCAGTATCTTGATGTGGCATCCCTGATTCCAGCCTGTTAGTACGTGTTCTGTCCACCATGTGTTTGTGAAGAAAAAGTGAACCATCTTTACAGTTACCTTTATGTCGAACTTTAGTGCTTCAATGGTATACTTTCTGATTCAAATGTTTTGTCACTATTGATTTATCTGATGGCTACGATGATTTTATCTATTATTGGAAGGTCCATGTGTTCTGGTTCGATATCCACTGGACTCAGTGAAGTTTGCCTATTCGGGAGCTTTTCAAAGTGTTCTGTCCACCCGTTCCGCCGCCCTTGGATCCCGGTTATTGGTTAGCATTCGTTGTTATTGACTGATTGCTTTGGTCTAAAACAAGTGCCTAGAAGGTTCTTCTTTTTATCATATAGTTGTCTCATATTTCCTTGTATTACAGCTTTCTCCATTCCAGTTATCTATTTACTTTGTATATTCGGCCTCTTCTTTGACCTTCTTTGTTTTCCCCAGTTATTGTTCACAGTTATCTCTTGTCTTTCCTTTTCTGGATCTTGTCCAGCGTATGAACAAAGATCACCTGTTTATTCTGGTGTTTCTTGTAATCCGGCATCTCCTTGGATGTTAACGTTAAAGCTTCTTTAATTACTTTCCAGCTCTTCTCAACAGTAGTTCCCACTTTGTTTAGATCTCATATGGCTTGGAACCTGTTGTTCAGAGCAAACTTGAATTTTCTGAACTCCCTAGCATCTCAAAGGAAAACTACATCGAACTTTGTAATGCTGTTTTTTTCAGCTGTTCAGTGCTTCTTTAGCTTCAGTTTCACCCTAGCTACCCCCAAGTGGTGATCTGAGGCTAAATCAGCTCTCCTATTTGTTCTTACTTTTCAATGGGCCTTCTGAAGTTTTCATTGATGAAGTGTCAAAGATATGGTTTGCTGTAATGTTGTTCGGCAGGACCTATGTAGCTTTGTGTATGTATTGGTGATGAGAAATTGTGTTACATATAATCCTGTTCTTGAGAGTACTTAAATTTACCAGTCTTTCACCATTCTCATTCTTTTCTTCAAGTCCATGTCGTCTCATGATGTCTTCATACCCGATATTTCCATATTGACCTTGGTATTCAGACTTATCATCACGACGGTCAAGTTTTTCCTTGGACAGGTCTATACAATGAACTGTATCCCCTCATAAAACTGGTCTTTATCGTCTTCATTGCTATCATTTTTTTGGGGGGATATCACTGGGTGAAATTGATTGTAACCCTCTTCTTCTTTGTTTTAGAGGATACTTTGATGATGCTAGAGCGGTGAGATTCCCATCCTATAAGTGTTTTATCGTGATTCCTTGAGTAGAATCAGTGGAATTTCATGTGTCCGAGACATTTTCTCCTTGTTTGTGACCAGAATACAACGGAATCTGATCCGAAGCTAATCTTTTCCGTTCAGCTTGTGTCTATTGGGTCTCTTATATTCTAATCAAAGTAAGGTTGAATCTTCTCATATCCTCAGTTACTTGAACCGTCCTTCTGGTCACCAACATTGCGCGGATATTCCGTTTATTTATTTTAATTGTTGATATGGTTGTCAGAAGGGGCAACGGCTTCGTGACTTTCCGAATAACCTGAGCTATCGTCATGAGCCGTCATAGCTCTTCTGAATGAAGACCTTCAGCTCCTAGGAAAGACTTTAAATGACGAAAATTATTTATTCTGGTTAGTATTTTTCAAAAAGATTATATTTTATTGAATATGGTGAATAAATCCATGCCTAACTCTACCCCATAACCTGAGCTTCGAATAGTCAGCAGCACTAGAAGGGCTCAGGTGAAATTACTTTCAGATATAACCATAAAATATTCGTGTATCTGTCATATGTTTATGATTGCAATTTATTCACACTTATTTACGTCAATTATTGCTCTAATATATGTATTAACCGTCAACCAATATCATTTTACAGTTTAATGGATTATTTAATATATATTTATCGACAAGGCAGTCACTTATTCCGACAGATATATATTCTAATATTTATTAATATGATGAGAAACTCACTTTTTCGTAAAGTTTCATAACTTCGTCAGACTGTTGATTTCCTTGAATTATTATATCACGACTACTGTCGAATGTATTCAGATCAGAAATCCGTAGTTTTTTCTCGTATAATTGTTTCGTGTCTCTAATTCTTCAGTCAGAAGTAAATAATATGGAAATAGAATTAAGCATATTAAGGAGCTTACAAGCTACTGGAATAGATTTGAGATAAACACAAATAAATTGAGTATACTCTAGAAGTTCGTGTCCAACTGTTTCTCAAACCTCCAGATATAAAATTGAATTAAATAAAACACTACAAATTATGACAACAATTTAATATTCCCAAGTTTTAAAACTGAATAACATGGACATGGTATTGACAATTTGAGGTCTCTGAATATTATACAACAATGTGAAGAATTATTGAATAACTTCATTTTGGACATCACCTGGAATTCTTTTGTTTGTATAGAGAAAATAATGATGGTACTGGGAATTCGAGTTAGAAACCCAGAGTCAGGGAACAAGACCCCTTAACTTCAAGGTTCATTCTACTTATACATGATCATATAGAACACTAACTTAATTACAATGATTTATTTGACAATGAGTAAAAAAGTGTAGTTTAAGCAACAAACAGTAGCAGTTGTAGTGATGAAGCACTGAATATTTTAGGGATAGAAATCGAGATGATTCAGCATTCAGATTGGTTTAGAACTTGTAAGGGAGATCAAGAATTTTGTAATATTGATGTATTAGAGGTTGATGTACAGAAATGGTAGCAGGTAGTAACAGAAATAAACAATGATTGACTTCTCTTGTATAGGAAGGAACCAATAAGTCTTAATGATAATTCTTACATAATGCAAGTTGTGCTTCATATGGATTTAGTTGAAATGACACGTACCACTTTATACTATCTTTGAAGTCGACTTCAGTGTTGAAAGCAAATGTGAATAATCAATAAAATCTTTCTGGTTGCTTGTAAACATAGATTATTTAAATTGTGAACTCACATCGACTTTAGAACCGTTACGATCTAAAAAGGAATTAAAATACTGTTTTGTCTCAAAATATGACCATCAAACGACTACCAACTTGTGGTTTCCAATATACCACTGGATGATTGGATTCAGTGATACAGAGTGTGCTAATAATAACTCAGATTCGAACAATTTGTCTATGGGTAACACACTTCTTTTTGTGAATTCATGAGATATCTACGACAAATCGTATTGGCGAAGTTCCATATCAGGTAGTTATTGAATACTCCTGATTTGAGTAAAATACATGTGTTTCCTCTTCTCAACTAATTATGTTGCTTAAACCTTTACAGTTAGAGTCTGATGAATGATGAATGAAGATCACCCGGGGAACCATCAAAAACTCAACAGCTCTAGACAATTAATGTTTCTTCGTTTGAGATCAAGGGCTGCGCACACTTACAGGTCCATAACAAATCGAACAAAAAGGTTTCAGGTTTTGTACCGAAATGAGTTCCCACAGTTCTAGTGACAAGTTGAAACCTGTGGAGTGTACAAGTTCGAGTTATATATACCTGCTGATGACTCCAGATAATAATTGTGGTATTTTGCCAATTGGCTTAAGTTGAAAGTAATCAGCAGTAAAATTCGAAATGAGAAAGTGGATGGTGCAGTTTTATTTTAAGGTTTAGATTTGTTGGACTTCATCGCATTCCGTGTCAACGATGAACACAGCTAAGTAGTCTAGATAGAGGAGAGAACAATTGTTCATTATCGTCAGGTTTTCTATAGTCCTCCAGTTGTTGATTATCAACAATACTAACTATGGTGAACTTTATTTCATGGACTGTTATCCTAATGTTACTTAAATATGAAGAACAAAATTCAGCAGCTCGTTCGAACCACTTAGTCTGGTAACCACAAAGTGATCTGCAGAGATCTTCTCCCAGTGCTTTAAAACAACTCACTGACTGTCACATATGGAGAATAAACTACTTTAATGGAAGCCATCAGTGATTGGAAATGTCATGACACAAACAAATGGTGAGGTTTGTTTGGAAAAATGAAAAATAATATGGTGAGCAGTTGGAGCTGTCAAATCGTCATTACTCTAGTTAAGAAACTGAAAAACAATTTCTTGTCATCTTGAAACACAAAATAATCATCATAAAAGTGAAACAAATAAACAATGTGATTTATCTGTAATTATTTACACAGGTGTGCCTATGAATAACAGCATTAACCATTCTTCAACATAGATCATTGCTCCTTTGAAGCGGCAATTCTCATCAACCCTCGAAGCATTTTTAGAAGATCTACCTGAAACATATGAAATGAAAGTGATTGAATAATTTTAGCCAGTAGATAGATGAAGTGAGGTATCTATTGTTTGATCGTCATTTTTAATAGAAATAATCGAGAGAAGAGAATAGTTAGTTTTCCGTAATCGTTATGTGTGGTACAAATTTAGGGTGGATAGAATGCCATGTAACATTCAAATTACAATAGGTGTCATTACCAAGGTTTGATTTGATAATTTCGAATAAATTGAGCATTGGGTTGATTGTTATAAATAAAAATAATATATTTGTAATTACAATAGTTGCACTATATCAGATCTTTAATTTATCAAAAACAAAGTTAACTAACACATGAACCATCTCACTCATTACGGTAGGAAAGGAATATCAATTTCTAGCAGACTGAAGCTTTAACACTGTTGTCCTCTCAAGATCCTACGTTTTATATGTGTTAAGTGATAATATAAGTCGGTAAATTTTTCAAATAACACTGAGTAAATTCTTTGTTCATTATGTAGATTCATTCTTAATATTCTGAGAACAAAACTCCACTTGTATATATATCATATACGTTTATTTTCTTGATGTATGAGTAACGTTTACCTCATAAATGTCGTGACTAAAACCACCCGACTTTACATCGGGTACATTGAGTTACGTGAGGGAAACAATATAAAATAGAATATCACTTGTTTTACCTAGTATACAAATGAAACGTCATACTTGACTGTGTTTTGTATTTGACTGTTTGAATGCAGTGTAAGAGTGTAAGTTATTGATCTTGCATTTTATAATTTACAAGAGTTTTCAATAAATGAAACTCTTATGGAAGAATATCTGTAGATTGTTCAGTGGTATTTATTGGATAGCCTAAGAACACATTACGTCGGATAATAGAAGCAGATATGGATAGGATGAATAGGAAATGGAAGGAGCTGGAAAGGATTGCTCAGGACAGGGTTGGATGGAGAATGCTGGTGAGCGGCCTATGCTCCTTCACGAGGAGTAACAGGCGTAAGTAAGTAAGTAAGTATTTATTGGATACATTATCAGTATATCTTCAAGTTGACAAAAGATTAAATGAAAATTGAAACTCACTTTTTGACGAAGGTTTGTTTAAGAGAATTAGTTCAAAAGTGCTGAACCTGTTTAAATATATCTAAAATAAATTATAAGAAAATAATAGAAGTTCAATCGGAAATGAGAACTTCAATAACAAATCAATACATCGTCACATTCCTACCGGTTTCCATTTTGGTGATAGATCATGAACACGCGAATGTTACGTGATTGTTTTTCTATAAGATTTTAAACTTATTCTTTATGGTGATAAGAAGTTTTAAATGAAGTAATACATCATATTATCTACAAAATTGGACGATTGTAATTGTGAGGAGTGTTTTCAAATTACTTTAGGGATGTTGAATGCTCTCCATTTATCCCACTCCTAAAGTCAATAAGGAGTTTTCAACAAACAGAATGTGTTAGATTTGAGCATGAATTTCCGGGGATTATTTTGTTTATATGAAGGCATGACTAATAATATCTTATGAAACAACTGAAATCTTAGTAACTGAGACGATTATTTGACCGTATGCATTGAATACGACTCAATAGGCGAGTTAGGCAGATGACAGTGACATAAACCATAAAATTTGTTGTGAACACGGTTATGATGCAAATCCTATAAATGATAGTAAGTGAAGTAAACTGACATTTCCATTGAGAAAAGATCCAATCCGTCAGTTTTACGCACTGGTTTATGGATTACTGTAGGTACTTCGATTTCATCAAACACTAGTATTTTGTAAAATTCAATGTTGAGAATGGGTATTTCAGTTTGATAAGTAGACGAAACGTTGTAACAGTTGGTATCTTGGGGGAAGCTGGAACTAAAATTTAAGCAGAATAACTTGGGTGTATTTTATTCGATTAAGTGTTCGTCAACCGTTCACTACCCGTAATATTTAGATATCATAATTACAAAACTGGTCGAAATTACTGTCATAAATGAGTTTAGTTGGAAGCTGGTTTGAACACATATGACCACAGTATAAGATGTAGAAGATAAATTTGAGAGACTGAGTAAGATATTGTGAATGAATATCTTATATGGAAGAACATTTTACAACAGTGATAACAATTTGTCAGTATCCTGGTCTCCTATCTTGACCAGTATCCGGATACAAATGACTGATACTTATGTTTATAAAAATGTTCAGTTTGAAGTCTACTATATCGTAAACTGTCAAATCGGTAGTGAAGCTCATTAAATTGAATTACAACGATTATTTTTATGAATGATCTTGAAAACACAAAGCTTCAACAAGGAATTAGAGAAATGATGGAATACTCCAGATATGTTGACAACACTTTATTGTCTTCAACATTAACCAACATGCAATTTTCATATTAAAGCTCTCCAGCAAGGCTCATCATGATGTACAGTTTATTACGGGGTATGAAAAGAACGACATGTTCTACTTTCTTGAGATTGTTATACAACGGAGAGTAGACGGTGCAGTTCACCATTCGGCTAATTGAGAAAAGTTCTCAAAATGGTCTACACTCGAATTTCAATAGTTTTTCAACCGATTACAGAAAAGCATCGGACGAAACACTATTTTGTAGATTAGCAAGGATATATACCATTGACCAGCTGTAAGATGAGCTAGCTAGTGTTGAAAAATGTCCAAGAGAAAACTACTATCCATAGAAATTTATTGAGAATTATACAAAAACTGAAGACACCAAGCTGGATGTGGCTACGGCAAACAAGTAACCAACATTTATTCACTTCAACTCCAAGAGTGATGACGTTGCAAGGACAATCATCATCCAGCACCTGCTGTGAAACTGAACTACTATTCCTATGTAAAATATGTTCAACAACTCAAACAAAGGTTGACAAGTACCATTTTCATATTGCCACTAAATATGTCCACAGACTTACATGTATCTGCAAAGCAGCTTCACTGGTCGAACAGAAAGGAATATACATCTCAGACATCTTAAACATATTTCAAAAAGCCTTTAATGAAGAAGCGTTATAAAGAGGACAATTACTATACATCTCTTGAATACAGGATATCAGGTTTATACGTTGGAATCTCCAGAGATGGTTAGTAAACGGCAAAGCTCCAGTTTCCTGAAGTTTGTTAAGGCTGTCTCATTCAGGCGTCAGAAGCCGGATTTCTGCCCCCAAAAGGAAATTGTTGATAATCTTCCTCTGACTCGATAGAACAAACGTTCCCTTGTTATATAACAAAATTCTGTTCAACTATTTCATTCACATGATTACATCCTCACGTGTTTTTGGAGTTTACTCATTAGGTAATTGCTTGTTTGCAGACACTTGGTCCTTTGTTACTATCACTGTTGTGAAATGTTCTTCCACATAAGATATTCATTCACAATATCTTACTCAGTCTCTCACATTTATCTTCTACATTCTCCTTATACTGTGGTCACATGTGATCAAAACAGCTTCCAACTAAACTCATTTATGACAGTAATTTCGACCAATTTTGTATTTATAATATCTAAACATTACGTTCAGTAAACAGTTGATGAGAACCCAGAAGAATAAAGGGAATCCGTAGAACAGATGAAATGTGGCCGGCGGCGGATTCAGAATACACGGTTTACAATATCTGGGGTTCGTTGTGTGGAAGTAGCTCCAACTAAGAGTTAGTATTTACCGTGGAACTCGAACCCAGTACATTTCGTTTCGAGTACTTTATGTGCTATCCACCTAGCTATTGAGTGCAGATAGCCGTTTACTTACGTAATGCACACAGGATGTACGGATGTCTATCAAGACAGATCAAAGTTCAGTCAAAACGATCAACAACGGAATCATTATAAACTAAATTTTAATAAATCCATGTTCTTCTGCTTCACTATTTGTTCATGAGCTCTTCGAGATTATGACAGGAACCATGTGTATGCAATTAATGTTTTTTGCTATTTGTGCGTGATAACATTGCGAACTTCCTTTGAATGGAGTAAATACTTGTTGTGCACCGTTAGATTACTTTGATAAGTAAATATATACAAACAAATATAACACAAATTGTTAATAGAAATCTACAAAACAGATCACGTCACATTACTTACCTCATCGAAATTTGGATTTGTTTTCGGCTTTGAAATTAGAAAGCATGTTACAAACTCCTTTCCCGATATATCATTTCTTAAACATGAAAATCCCTTACCTACTCGTTTGATTGTCATATCCTTGGTCACTACCAAATGAAAAGGTAGTATGCCTAAAAATTCCTTCTCTGGTAATGAGACTGTTAAATCCAATAGAGATATATACTTATTGAGTTGATTATCTTTCTCTAATAATTCAATCCATGATAAACCTTTATTGTATAGCTTAAATGTGTATATGTGTGAAGCTGCTTGCTTCCTTTTATCAACTAATTTTGCACTAACATCCAATTGAAAATACAATTTTGCAATATATATTAGTTGACTTCTCAGATAATGCGCGAATTCTTCACGTACGGAAGAATAGACCAAAGTGATGACATTGTGATTGATTGAAGTGACTTTTATGTTAGGGGGTTTAATTTTTGGATAAGAATAATGTAAATACTCATGCATTTCATTAATATTATGTAAGAAGTCAATGTAATTTTTACCCAGTACTTGTAATAAACTCTGGAAACCATTATTACTCAGATAATCGACAGATTTAATACCGAATTCGTAATAAATATCTTCTTCAGGCAGACCAATAAACTCACATAATGTACTGATTATTCGTGTTAGTAATCGTGTAGAATAGTTCCGATTAGTTTGTATTTCCAGTTGTTGTCCGTTGACTATTTGTACAGCAGCCTCCCATGTTGATGGACCGAATGTCTCATCAACATAGTTTCGTAGAATTTCAAATAATATACCATACATTTATTTCTATGTCTTAATGAGTGAGTTAGGAGGGATTTATTCTCTCATTTGTATTTATATCATTTAAATACTCTTCGATGTACATATAGTGACCTCAAAACCAATCCGAATGAATAGAGAATTTTGGAAACAGATTTTGTTTACTCAAACAAAAAGTTTCAAATCATTATCACAATTAAAATTATTAATTGTTCTCCATTATGCTCCAACATATTTTGCCTCATTATACTTGTTAATTAAGGTCGAATTTCAAAATGAAACACTCACTTGAATGGTTGGAGATAGAGAATAATTAGACTTAGAATTCAATTTAAGTAAAGTACTTTCTTCAGATTTTACGAGCTAAATTTATTTTAATTGATGCATTGGGACTCCATCGAAATTATTGAACCTGTACTTTTCCTAAATATTATTCAACAGTGTTGTGTGGTGGTTGAAAGTGGTCTATGGGAAACCTTAAACCTAACTTTCGTACTAATGGTCACATTTCATCAAGGTGTATTTGTAATCTTGACAGAACTGTGTTTAACTGGTGGATTGGAAGTGCGTCACTTAGCTTCACAATTTGAGATGTCTTTAATGAAATATTCTTACCACGAATGATGTCCTGCAGGGATAAGATACTTATGAATAATCTACCACCGATTAATGCCCATGCAAGTGAACATATTCAACGTATGCGAGTCAACAGCGACATGCAACTTGATCAAGCAGTTCATATTTTACAGACACATGAAACAATTGAGTAAATCATGGTTACAATTTATACATTCGCCACGGAATCATTCCAATTTAACTAATTTAACTAACTGAGTAGAAACAAAGTAAAACAAGTTAGTTATGAGGCATAATAAAAATTCAAGCTACCAATGGAACAACAACTCGATTGTTTTGATAGCAGCTTATTCAGCAAATCACACCGACACTACATACTTTTACCCATTGATTACTATGAACGACTGGGTGACCGTTATCAAATGCCATTCGATAACACCGTTTACAAATTTGGGATCATGCAGTAGCAAATCCAAAAGTAGTTGCTAATTTTGATTAATTAGGAAAGACTACGTGATTACATTGTTTCAACGAAACACACACGCCTATAACCATTGTGTTGTATGAAACGATATAGAGAAGAAAATTGAGAAATTATTCAGGGCGTTACTTTTTGTTTTTTATAAGGAAATGAAACAAAGAAAATAACGCCAATTAAGTTTACAATCAGAAGTTCCAATCGCTTATCCTTTTTGAAAATTTCAAGGAGCTCACACTCTGTCATTTCTACGACAAGATAAAATAAGTTTGTGATGTCTCCTGTCAAAAATATGAGAGACCCCAATCAACAATTATCCAAATCGCTTACTAAACGAATTGCAGATTGCATAACTAGATAAGTGTAGATTAAAACTAAATGCATCTGATTGAGTGAACAACTATCCTGCAACAGATTGCATTTATTCTGCCATAATTCGTTATGTTTTTATGGTGTTCTATCCTTAACATTTTGAAGTTTTCTACAATCACGCATGAGAATCTGTGAGTATCTTGGATGGTCAGATCACTCCAGTCACACAAATTCTGGTGGATATGAAAGGATAAATGATGGTAAGATGGTGATTCTACATGAAATGAAAAATTCATTCACGTTACGAAATCTAGATTTCATGAAAGAAATAAAGAAATATTGATTAGTCAATGAGAGGGGTGTCACCACTCACACAAATGTATAGTCTTCAAATCAGTTGAAACCACTCTCTTTATGTCTTTTAAGACCTCCTCAACTCAGAAGACAAAAATACCAAGAAATTCGAGGGAACTCTAATAGGACACCACTAATCTCGAGAATTCCTTGAAGAGACCGAGACAAACGTTGAAATATGCGACCATGAATACTCAGGAACACAGAACAAGTACAGTGAACATCAATCCACAACGTTAAATACAAATTCATATCATTGTATCATGTGTTCAGATGTTGTCGAATCAGACGGTCAAATTATAAAGTGTGGATGCATTATTTCCATTGACGATATGACATACAAAACGTCTGGCAAGCATTTCAATAAAAATCTCAAATCACTAACTCCATGATAAAGTGGGGCATCGATTGAAACAGTGATTCCCGTCGGGTTGTAAAGACTTGTTATTTCCTTGTTAAACTTCACAATGATGAAGATAATTATCATTCATCTACAAGCTAGTGTAGGAGTAGCGAGCTAGGGGTGAAGATGCTTGGGAATGAACGCAAAAATTAATCTTAGAGGGGAAGAAAACGTAATCATCTATCGAATAGTAGTGAAAGAAAATAATTTTAGGAGGCACCAGTTGATATTGTTTCTTAACATACTGTCGAATCAGTCAGAAAATCAAGATCAGATTTAAACGGTCCTCCTTGCGCGTTTGCCGATTCCGATTACTTACTGTTTGAAGTGGTCATTTTTGAAGCACTAAACAAGTGAGTGTGTGTTAATAAAAAGGAGTTTTATGGAAATACAATTTTCGTGAGCCGACTGTGTGGATTATGTCCAAGACAGCTTTATCTTGAGGAGACCGAAGGGTTCATAATATTGTAACCAATGTGAATCGATGGTCACCGTTACTTTAAATGAATGATGTAAAATGGGTTAGGTACTTATCGCCAGTCTGAAGGAATTATTGTACCACCTTTTCTAGTAATGTAAAGTCGAATGTAAACCAAGTGTCGAGAAAAAAACGAATATATTCTGATTTTTTAGTGGAATATGTTAAAAATGTAGTCAAGTTTACCATAAGTTTTATGATGATTATTATTACAACGTATTTTCACCCTATCGAGTGGTTTAACTCTTGAGTGAGAAGTAACCGAGGTCTAAGAGTTGTCTAATGATCATTTATTAGTCTGTGAATAATAAATTCACAGAAATATCATCAAGCTCGATTAATGTGTCGAATTTGGAAGAATTTTAAAATATTTTCTAGTGAATACAATTACATCCAACATCTTGACCGACATTTTATCATATGAAGTGGTTTCAATGACGTAGTCTTGAACGAGTATGATGTGTGTTAGTTAGCGAAAGTGAAATATGATTAGTTGTTAAGTGTGTGAAAACAGCCGCAGCCTACGGACTTTTAAATATTCGGTTTCCCTTTCTATCATTGATTTTACTGAGGACTGGCTGAATGGGACTGCTTGTAATTGTTTTGAATAAAGTATTCACCTGATTCTCCATTTTCAGTCGTGAATCCTAGTTCCAACATAGCATGATTAGTTTTACTGTCGTATTTACGTGTTACAGTAACATGTATGAGAGAGAGAAAATATTTTAGGCATCCGTTATATCGGAGTCATTGGCATTTTTCGACACATGTATTTGCAATGTATTGATCAGTCTGGTGATCCGCACCTATTAATTACATGATTAGGTCATTACTTTCATTATGCGGTTTGTAGTGTCGGTTGCTACGTCAAGCCGATATAGCTCATCCTACATTCCGAACAGGAAAATCTATTCATTCTTCTCCAGTTACATGTTAAACTTGTTAATTATTCACTTATCAACCTTGACTGTTTTCATATGAGTGCATGTGCGTGCATTTCTTATCTCACTCATCACATGTATGTAACTTATTTTTAACTGACTACAATTGTCGATCAACGCTTGGTTAAATCGAATTGGCTCACACGCATTCTACACCGCGCGTCATTTTGCTTCGCTTGGTTTCTCCGATCGTTTGTCTGGATTAATGATTGTATGAAACACACGAATTCGACGTCCATTCTCGTATTCGATTTATTTAATTCCGTAATTCACTAACACGATTTAAGTCGACAATTATATATGAGGATTGACGATATGTATATTTCAATAGCAATCATTTACGGGATCAATCTGGAGTCAGATATAGGACCACTAAAGTTTCGAATAAAATTTATTGACTTAAATCTGACACCGTTTTGAGCATAATTTTGAAAATTCAATCTACTTCACCACACATTTAATGTAACTGTAAAATGAAACCATTTCATTGTAAATTGATAAATTGTTTAATAGTTGATTACTTAATATGACGATACTGACCAGTCATTATGACTTTGAACTAGTTTGTTTGTAATAGTGGAGTTGTTAAGCCTGATTATATTGGAAATATAAACTCTTCGTAACTAGAATTAACCTAAATGTCATTTACGTTTGTAGGAAAGAGATCACTCGTAAAATGCGGTAACTTTAATCTACATTAATTCAGTGAACAATCTAACCATATTCTCACTATTTCAGTTATACATGATATTCAGTTATGAATATATTTGTTTGAAAATCTGTTGTTGTGTTCTGAACAGTAAAATACATCATCATTTACCGCTAGTGTTCGTTTCTCTAATTTTGTCGAGTAATATTTCAATTTTCTCAGTTATTTGGAATATAACTTCAAGTATGATAGATATTTAATAAGTATTATCTTGTAATTGCCTTCTGAGAAAGATAAAAATTAAGGTGAATTTATTTTGTTTTTCTGTTAGGAAGAAATAGTGGATGAGCACTGCTGAGGAGTCCCATACTAGGACAAAATGGTCGTCCACTGCTCCCAGGTTTTCAATTGTGTTCTGACATTTATCGGTTCATGATCTCCACTTAAACATAACAATCTCCACAATCCCATGCTGATGAGAATTGGGATAATTATACTTCATCATGTTTTTAGCACAATATCAGAGGGTTTTTTCATAAACAACTAAGTACGTGTAAATGAAAAAAGTTAGGAACAAAAAATATCGAATCCAACCATTAATAAGTAGAAATAGGAACTAAAAGTGTTCAGTATCTTCCTTTCAGAGATATGTGGATAATATTAATTAGAGGATAGATAAATATACCAAGGATTCACTATGTTTAGTTGTGAAATATCAACCAAATTTAAGTTTGTCACAAAGAATGATATGAAATTTACTTATGTCTATTTTCAAGTGACACAGAAATTCAATGTAAAAGTAAATATATAATTATTGTGACATCGATTACATAGACTAATACTCTACAACACATAAAAAATGTAACAGTTCATTTTTTCGAAAATATTGTCCCACTTTTAGCATCTTCATGAGTCTTCACTCATAGACTTTTGTGAAAATTTGCACAACCAGTTGCCTAGATATTGAAGTGGATTTTCAGGTTGAACAATACCGATTTCTGTTAATCCTAGTGTTAATGGGTTTACTATTAAATAAAAAAAGAACACAGTGAGAACTATCATAACATTACATTGTTTGTTGCGGTCACCAACGACAAAAACAATAGTAATTTAATCAACAGCTGAGTTTTCTAACACCTAGTAAAATCTGTTCATATGACATTGATCTGATTGAAATTGAGAAATGATCGACGGTTGATTGAACAGTTTAAGAGTGTAGTTTAAAAACCTCAGAGACTTTAGCAAGTAATCATTTCAAGATGAAAATATATACTTAATCTCAACGTGGCCATTTCCACATTTCACTGACGTTCTATCTACGTAAGACCGCGAAATAAAAATTCTACTTGAATATTTCTTCTTTTTCATATTTATGAGTTATATTCACCACTGATTTGCTTCATCATGTGCACCTTTGAAAGTCAAAGAGCGCCAAACATCTGTTTTATTCTAGTACTCACTAATAACTTTGCTTGTGGTCGAACTAAGGGCCTTATGGTGTTACTGATTAGGTTAGAACTTCGGACCTTTGGATCGTCATCAAGTGATATATATATATATTGACTTCAATGAATTCATGATCATTAATTATCAGTAATGACTAGACTTGCTCTCTTTAAGTTTGAACTTCACTGACAATAAATTCTTACTAAAACATCAGTAACTCAGCTTGAATTAAATCGTTTGAGAATACGACATAGTGTTGATGAGATGTTTTCATCTTTGTCAAGTGGGGAGTTAACTTTCGTACCTCTTTTATTAACTTACTGTATCTTAATATCCTTTAGACTATTGAGTGATTTCAGTCAGATACTTGGATTTTTTGATCACTTTTTTAATGAAGTGACATTTATACATCGTGCTACACTGTTATAGAAATATGATTAAGATTGTACAGTTCTAGAAAATGGCAACACTATAAACAAAAAAATTCCGCATCAAAATGATTTTATTTTTCCAAATGATAGAGACTAGTTATTTGATGAGGCACTTCAATCTAACAATTTCATTTAAATATGATTTATTCTTAACTAAAGTATATCTAGGTTTCAAAAATTTGGCCAGTCTATAAATTAAAATGCATTTAGATTTGAAGGATTCATAAAATAAAACGTTTATACACATTTTTAAATAAACCGGAACAACAAATTCTGGAATATCATCATAATACCAATATGAAACTCTCAACTAACCAAATTTCGAACTAAGAATGACCATCTCGGTTACCTTGTTGATATTTGAAACAAGAAATTCAGTAATTCTGTTCCAAAGATGTAACTTTTTTATAAATTTTTAATTCAAAGATCCTCAAAAATTAATTATACTTAAGGATCAGTTGTTTGAAGCGATTTGGAGATCATTCATTTAGCTAATCCTTAACTAACTTATTTAATACGCAAACTAATATTCATATGTTTGAAAGCCAAACTTTCTGATCTTTTTGCCTTTACTCTCATCTACCAGTCTAATTTTTCCTTCCTACAACTAAATTGACCCCAATCGTCCAACATAACTACATGAAAGTTGTTTGAAATACTAGGTCAAAAATATCATAGATTATTTGTACCCCACTCTTTGATAAAGCAGAAGCTTTAGGTATTCATGGGATGAAGCGTGAAAAATGAATATTTATTTTAACTATGATGTATACTTCGTCACATAATTGTTATTATGATTTTCATTTCACTTAATTCGTCATAGACAGATATACCTGCTGCTATAATACAAATGAAGCACTAAATGTCTGAATTCAAGAGACTAAAATAATTTATTTATTCGTTTCACTTTCATGAATTTCCGTGTAAGAATATAAAAAATGAAGATATTTCTCATGGCGACATTATAATTTATGGACGAACCAACCGGAATGTAGACAGCACGATTTTGGACTTGGGTGCGGACTCCATTTACTCATTTGGCTAGGTACCATTTTGTTATTATAGCTGATGTCATTTCGTAATGCAGACATTAAATCTAACTCCGAACCCTAATGTTCAACTGTAGATCCCAATCCTAATTCACTACACTAATGAAAAACCCTCAATTGGTTCTAGAGGGTTGGTGGACATTCCAAGGTCACTTTGGCGTTGCTAAAACGTCATCCATAAATTAGCCTCACTTTTCCCATTTATAATATCCTTAAACTAATCTCTTCCTCTTTATTTACATTTATATTACTTAATGACGTGTTGAAATATTCTTACATGTTAAGAAAATAAAAACCAAAATTTGGTGGCCCGTTATTTTGACGCCAATTAGATCGGAAGTTATTGTCGACTGGTTCACCACTTTAGTGGTCCTATATCTGACTCCAGATTGATCCCGTAAATGATTGCTATTGAAATATACATATCGTCAATCCTCATATATAATTGTCGACTTAAATCGTGTTAGTGAATTACGGAATTAAATAAATCGAATACGAGAATGGACGTCGAATTCGTGTGTTTCATACAATCATTAATCCAGACAAACGATCGGAGAAACCAAGCGAAGCAAAATGACGCGCGGTGTAGAATGCGTGTGAGCCAATTCGATTTAACCAAGCGTTGATCGACAATTGTAGTCAGTTAAAAATAAGTTACATACATGTGATGAGTGAGATAAGAAATGCACGCACATGCACTCATATGAAAACAGTCAAGGTTGATAAGTGAATAATTAACAAGTTTAACATGTAACTGGAGAAGAATGAATAGATTTTCCTGTTCGGAATGTAGGATGAGCTATATCGGCTTGATGTAACAACTAACACCACGAAACATTATAAACAGTAATTTTATGAAGTTTTAACTTTTTGCTATTAAGAATTTTCAACAATAGTTTAGTGAAATACAATTTATAATTTTGTTGACTAAGCAATTAAAATAAGATAAAATAGTTTCTCTTACCAATATCTTCAAATATTACCGATTTAGGCGATTTAAAAGACTTCATTAAATCTACATGTTCATCTTCATTCATTAGTTTGTTTGTATATTTCAAATCTAAAATTTTGAATGAAGTCAGGAATTTTGTTGATGATATGAAAACACTATAAACACTTTGATGGAGTTTTGTTCTCTGACCTGGATGGTTTGGTCGTGGAGCTGATGATGTCGTTCAGAAGAACGATGAAAGCTCCAAGACCAAACCATTCAGATCAGAGAACAAAACTTCATCAAAATCATACACCTGGGCTACAAATCTTCTTCACCATCTCACAGTATAAACATTTTATTTTAGATTATATTTGACTTGAAAAGTAATTAATCTAATCTAGTTTTGACTTGTGATGACTGGTGGTTTTCTGTTATGACTGCGTCATCAATTTATGAATATTGAATTATTTTATCAGTTTTTTTCATAGTGAATAGTAATTTAACATTATTCAACGGACATTTTATTGATAATGATGTGAACAGAGAAACAAGAAGCCTTGACAAACTACGGAAGCTATTTCTCAGGACATTATTTCATTTAATTCAAAGCATGTAAAACAGTTACATTTATTTTTGTCTTTAGTCTATTCTACAGATCATAAGCTTTCGTTTGATGTTTGATTCAGTGCCATAGCCCTTTTTGTTCCAAAGCTATTGTAATTTAAACGTATTATTTTGTACTCTACATTCTACACTAATCTCCAGTTTTTGACATAATTGTATTTTTTAACCAGCTTCCAGCTGAAGAGGAAATTAGGAAAAGACGACGGAGTTGATGGATAGGACATACATTATGCAAATCATCGAACTGCACCGCGAGGCGAGCCCTAACTTGGAATCCTGAAGGGAAGCGGAAAAGTTGAAGGTCAAAGAACACATTACGTCGGGAATTAGAAGCAGATATGAAAAGGATGAATAACAACTGGAAGGATCTGGAAAGGATTGCCCAGGACATGGTTGGATGGAGAGTGCTGGTGAGCGGCCTATGCTTCTTCACGAAGAGCATCAAGCTTAAGTAAGTAATTATCATACGTTGTGGTCAGGTTAGTCATCTTTTCACACTGATCTGAAATCGGGAACCAGATCGGAATTTGGAATAAATCGTGTAGTGTACCAGTTGACTTGTTTTCTCTCACTCGCGTGCTCTTCAGCCAATCAGTTGATAGAATAGTTTTCGTCTATCTACCCCACTTCGAACTCACGCGTGCTAGCCTCTAGGTTAAGCCGGTCAGCCTATCGCGTCAAGGTCTTAATGTAGATTAGACAAGTATCCTCTGCACAAGAGTGGGTAGACAGATCAAGGACGTAATAGATAGTTAAAAATTCTCTGATTTAACAAATGATAAAATAGTCATAGGTTTCTAGAATGTCACAGATATGTTTTGATGATACGAACTGTACTGAATGTTTCAAGAGTAAAACTCCTACAGAAATCATATCAATTTATTCAGTTATGACGGTTTTCGACTAGATCCGTAAAGTTGGGACAAACCATTAAGACTAGTTCACGGAAAGTAAAAAGTTTACTTGCTTTTAGTCATATTTATCGACAAAATAAGTCTTTGGAAAGTCTCTATTCATATAAAAAGGTCACAGAAACAAAAAATTCGTGAAAAACAAACGATACAATAACCAAATGACGACTTACTGTTTTGTTCTACTGACTTGGATTTTGTTAAATTTTCTTCGGATTGCAAATAATCCATTTCTTCCGACTGTGATTCACGTTCATTTTGATTATTGCTGAAACAAAGTTGAGTGGTGATATTGTTTTGAATAAGTATAGTGTCAAGTATTTCTTCATTTTTATCAATATTTTGAATTTCTTTTATATCTGTTTCATCTTCAGAAGGCGTAGTCGAACTCGATTCATCTCCATTATCACAACCATAAACTTCTGAATTAAAAGAGTTTAGTTCATCTATTTGTCTGCAATGATTGTCAATATCTTCTTTTAATAATTTTCGGAAGTTTAACTCTTCTCCAGTTGTTGTATCAGTCATGGTAAAGTTTTCTTTACGGTTTTTAACGAAATAAGTGGTCATTTTTCCTTTACCCTGTGTAACGTTATAAAAAAATGCATTAACTCAACAAAGTCTTCATTGAGAGTTGACAGTGTTGAATGACAAATAGAAATACTAATGATAAAATAATCTTAATTCATTTTATTTATGTTTAATGGGTTGTGATAGTGAATTGCGTCCAAGTAAATGGATTATCTCTATTAAAGAGAGCAAGAACGAAGACTGGTATACAATAATATGAATTCATTTTATTTTACCAAGTTCTCATCAGCTGCTTACAACCTAAAATATTTGGAAACCAGCGTTAATACAGATATTGATATACTTATAAATACGAGGGTGATTAGCGATGAATATGTGTATCATGATGTAGCAAAGATTCTATTAGAGCTAACAAAGTCATAAAATTTTGTCTAGAATATTAATAACTGTTAATGATTTTTAGGTTTACATTTGTGTTATGTGATTTCATTGTGTTTTTATTATTGTATATCTTGAGATACCCTTTCAAGTAAAGGGAACTTATGCTGTTTTATACTCAGTGTATATTAAGCTTTATTTGTTCAATTGTGTAGTGTATATTCTAAACAAATAGTTACCAAATTAGTGTGATGATCTCGTTGGTTGATAAAAATCATCAAGGAAATGTAAATCAATGTGTTTTTTTTATTAGCAACACTGATTGGTCCAATATAATTGTGCAGAGATAGGTTTACTTACTAAGAAGTTTATTCATAATGATTCATCTATATAAGAGGACAAGATGTACATTGTAATTGTAGATTTACCTCAATAATAGTTATCAGCACGAACGATTCCTAGTTTAGTGGTATTTCACTTGACCACCTCTTAATAGTTAAATATAGATGTATCTGGTTCAGAACTATTAGAATAACAATCGAGTTTTCTTTCATTTTATTTACATTGTCGTATGAGATAGTACACGAATTTATTAATTTATATTGAAACAATTAGACTACTTATAATGATCACTGTAAATTAAAGATAAAACCATAATTAAGTGAATTCAATTCATTATAGAATGTTACTTTTCTTTCTTTACCAAAGTTTATAAATGAGATCGATTACATATTACCTTTATATATTATTACTGTCTTGTAAGAGATATAAGTATTTTGTCGATAAATATGACTAAAAGTAAGTAAACTTTTTACTTTCCGTGAACTAATCTTAATGGTTTGTCCCAAGTTTACTGATCTAGTCGCAAACCGTCATAACTGAATAAATTGATATGATTTCTGTAAACTGAATTTTAAAATGTTAATTGAATCATTCCAATCCATTAAGTGATTGTAATCATTAATTAAAACAACAATAAAGCCTCTTTCTAAATCATATGGAATTATATTGACAATTTATTTTTTAAAATGTATTATTTCATTAAAAAACTTGGACATTTTTCTACATACTTTGATTGTTTGTTCACCTCGATATTCCAGAATATAAGGATATTCAAAAAGGTTCTTCGCCAAGTCCGAACTAATATGAACTGTATCTGGCTAATAAATAAATGAATAAGGAGTGCTAGTTACCCATAGTAAATCCTTTAAATACAAGATTTTCATTTTTTCAAAAAAATAGTGTTTTATGAAGTTTCTGTGATTATCAAATTTTAATTATTTAAAACAAAAAAAAATTAAAGATATATAAAGTTCAAAAGTTAGATAAAGCATTATTTAATATTTGTAGAAATCAGAGAGGGGTTCTGTGGAGAAGCCGTGACCAGTGGAGTTCAACAAGGTCTGTTGTGAAATAGTAACTCATTTAAGACAACGGTGAATAGTGGCTCAATTTCGTGGATTGGTTGAAGTTAGACAATAACACCGTTGAATGCCAACTCAGTGGTCGAAAGCTCCTGGGTTCGAATCTTGTGGGGCAAGATCGTGGGTGCGCATTGATGAGGAGTCCCACACTAAGATGAAACGACCGTTTAATGTTCCAGGTTTTCCTTGGTGGTCTAGCTTCAACTAACTCATGAAATCACTTATAGAAATTTTGAGAAAATGATGTTTTCTTTTGTGACCTTTATTTTATTATAAAATATTATTTGAATGCTCAATATTCAAATATTATTTATGGAGGATATAGAAGATTTAATGAACTATTTTTTCAGATGGACTTTAATTATCATTTCTTCATAATAAAGTTAGTTAATCAATTGATATTACAATTCGAGATGTAAGAATAGAAAATATGATTTTTCCTAACTGATTAGATTTTTATGCAACCTATAGAAAAGCAAAGAATACTATTTATAATTGTTTGAGAAGTCTATAAATCAATCTAAAAATCCTTATATCTCTTATAAAGCAGTAATAATATGTAAAGGTAATATGTGATCGATTTCATTTATGAACTTGGTAAAGAAAGGAAAGTAACATTCTATAATGAATTGAATTCATTTAATTATGGTTTTGTCTTTAATTTACAGTGATCATTATAATTAGTCTAATTATTTCAATATAAATTAATAAACGTTTGATCTATTGATTTAACCATTCAAGTGACTGCATTGGTTTTTTTACACGATCTTCATCTATTCTTATCAATATGTGATTTTAATCGCTGGAACATTCCCACTATATTAAAACACAATTGTATGGATGAAGAATATTCCTTTCAATAATTTCTCATCAGGTTCTACAATTATAAATCCAAATTAATAATCCATAAGATTGGCCAGATTTAAGGCAGAGTACATCATTTGGAAATTGTAATATATGTAAATTAATGATTGTTGTTTGTTATCAAATCAGATCGTTAATGTTGGGGCTGACAAATATGAAGTTGCTAACTTGAATCAGATTATAAGTGAAATGAAATTGTGTGATAAATGGTCAGAATGAATATGGTTAACATGGGGTGAGAGAGAGAGAATAATGGAATAAAAATCAGAAATTACGTATTATGTAGAATAATATGAATTAGGTCAGACATAGTAGATTTAGGGGTGGATACTGAATAAATTCCCCAAAGAGGTTCCTGATTTACATATTACAATTTCCAAATGATGTACTCTGCCTTAAATCTGGTTAATTTTATGGATTATTGGATTTATAATTGTAGAACCTGATGAGAAATCATTGAAAATAATATTCTTCGTTCATATAATTGTGTATCATTATGTGATTGTTACGATTGCTGAATTTCATTGAAATCATGAACCAATCTAAGTTAGACCACCATTGAAAACTTGGACGACCGATTTACCCTAGTATGAGACTCTTTAGAAGTGTACAAACCACATTTAAGGTTCGTGGATTTTTGGTAATTCATTCATAATCCTACCCTTTTATGCATTACAATCATAATGATTAGGGAATATTGACTGAGCTTGATTGGATCATAATTTGTTTCTCTTCTACATATTTCATCCTTCTATAGATTGGACTTTTATGGTAAAGTTTGCTATGTAAAATATGGCAAAAAAATTCTTACTTACGAGTCCAGTACTCATCATTCTATTTGCAGTATTTACTGTATCACCAAACAAACAATATCTTGGTGATTTAAATCCAACAATTCCAGCAACGATCGAACCAGTATGACAACCAATGTATAATTGTAGTGGTATATTTTGTTCATCTTGAGTTCCTGTCGAATTATCCAAAAAAAGCTTCACTAGGCCAAAATAGATGTCGTTTTGTAACTTCCAGAATATCTAATGCCATTTCAATTATATGGGCTGAATGAAAGGATGATGGACTTGGAGCACCGGATACTAGCATATAACTATCACTAATTGTTTCAATCTTTATTATGTAATGGAAAATGGAATCAGTTTCAATTTAAGAAATATAAAATTTCCTACTAGAATTCATCATGGGCACATGAAAATCTTTCCGTAATGTGAATTATAAACATTCGAAATTGTTAATTATATTTTCTATTACAAATACCACTTTAAATGACCATAAAACTTTGTATCAAAATGTTATTTAATAATATAAGTAATCATAATAATTAACAAATAAAATGGCTATAATTTTTCATTTTAACCATAAGTAGGGTATTTTAGTCACAAAAAAATGTCAATGTACTTGATTTTAGTAGTTAGTTTCAGCTCTCATTGAATGAGAATTGCTTTAAGAAAGAATTATCGATTAATTAACTGAAAGGTAAATATCATGTGTGTAGCTGTTAGTCATACTCTACAAGTCAAGTATAAAATCAATGGCCCGTATTAAAGAATGAACCTAGTTAGGAATTAATTTTGAAATATCCTCTGTGGAAGAACAGGTTTATTTATTCGAAAAAAAAAAACGTTTTCTTTATATCCGATGAGTTTTCCGTTAAAAATATAACGAGGGAATTGTCTTTTAAAAACTTTATTTTTGTCGTTATATTTGGGGGAATGGTTTTGAGTCAAGATTAATTATTTAGACACAATCACATAATACTCGAAAGTATATCGGACAACTTTAATTGTATCAGATAGTAATCGTCTAGTAGGAACTGTTATATTCTAACGAAGATTAAATTATAAGTAACTTCTGAGAGCACCGATGGCGTGAAATATTGTTGTCGGATGCAATTTTTCTAGGCCATCTCTGGCCCAATATACTAGGTAAAGACCGGTGTCCGGCAAGGTTGCTTACTCTCACCCTTGCCCCTTCTCCTGGTGGTCGACTGGATCATTAAGACGTCAACATCTGAAGGGAAACACAGGATACAGTGGACAGATAGGATGCAGCTGGACGATTTAGACTGGATCTGGACTAGATCTGGATTATCTATCGCAAATGCAACAACAAATGCAGGAGAAGACGACCAGTGTAGCAGCAGCCTCAGCAGCAGTAGGTCTCAAAATACACAAAGGGAAAAGCAAGATTCTCCTATACAATACAGCATACATCAATCCAGTCACAGTTGACGGAGGAGATTTGGAAGATGTAAAATGCCTTTACATATTTGTGCAGCATCATTGATGAACACGGTTGGTCTGATGCAGATATGAAAGCGCGGATCGGAAAAGCAAGAGCAGCATATTTATATCTGGAACTCAAAACAACTGTCAACCAACACCAAAGTCAGGATTGTCAATACAAATGTCAAGACAGTTCTACTGTATGAGGCGGGAACTTGAAGAACTACGAAACCGATCATCCAGAAAATACAAGTGTTTATTTACTGTTGTCTGCGCAAAATACGTCTGATCCGTTGGCTCATTTCTCTTACTACTCATCATTTAGTTGTTACCCTACGTAAATGAGCAAAATTCAAAAGTAAGTTAGGATATAACTTTTCTCTGTTGATAAAAAGGCGATACTGGTGGTATTTAACATACCACATAACATACATAACAATAATTGAATTAACAACACAATGGTTACACAAAAAAATGGGTCAACATTTACGATTATTATAACATTTAGTCGAACTCAATTAATTGATACTTATGAATAAACAGAAAATCTATCTTTTTAATTATTAACAAAGTGGTAAGCTATTAGAAACGTTTTGAAAATTATTTGTTTTCTATCAGCTAGTAGAATTATTCAAATCTCAGTCATGAATCAAGTTTATGTTCCCTAAATTTCTACATGTAGTTTAAAGTTCACATGATTAATTATATTCTAAGCTAGTCGTTAGTAATCGGAGCCAAGATGGATATTTCGTCGTAGGAACTAGTCAGTTAGATTTATTAATATGCCAATGTTAATGTTCACAATAAAACTCGGATCCATTGATCCTCTTTTCAAAGTAATAAAGTATTTCACACAAATAAGATTTTGTTGTTATCCAATCGAGCTTGGTTATAAAAAAATTAAACGACACTTTAAAGAATTACCTTTATACGAACATTTCATCTTACATTAAGTAATGAACAAAGAAATTTAAATGGACCAATATCCATTCAGTATCAATTTACCTTATAAACATTATGTGATTCAGTCATTGAATCATAAAGTGTGTACATTTGATTTAATATATCGACAATTTTATGTGGACACATTCGACTAGAATAATTAGAAAAATTAACCACTTTAGTGAAGCATATTGTCACTGAATTGTATGCCTGAAATTTTAATAAAATAATTAAAAATATCATATGGGTTTTAAGGATATTATAGTAATTTCAATGGTTAAGACCATGAGTCCTGGAGTTCTAGTGAGAAGTAGTGGAGTTCAACCAGGCCTGTTGTGAGATAGTAACTCACTGAAGACAATGGTGGATGTGTCGCTCAGTTTCGTGGGTTAGCTGAAGTTAGAAATTAACACCGTTGAATGCCGGCTCAGCAGTCTAGTGGTTAAGTGCTCGCGCACAAAACCAGTAGGTCCTATGTTCGAATCTCGCAGGGGGCGAGGTCGTGGATGCGCACTGCTGAAGGGTCCCACACTAGGACGAAACGACCCTCCAGTGCTCCAAGGTTTCGCATGGTGTTCTAGCTTCAACTGGTTCATTATCTTAACCATTGAAATAATTAAAAATTGAAAGAAAAAATTATCTACAGTTGATTTGATATGAAAAATCAGCAAATTTAACCAGTATAAGAATTCATTATCTCGACTTATAAACATAAATTATTAACTATGTAAACTATTGAATATTAAAAAAAAACTATTCAAATTTGGGTGATTCAAATCAGTTTTAAAAAAATTTAGTCATACTATACTGTGTGCTACTGATGTCGACAGATATAAGTAGTATGGTATCATCAATCGAAAATGAAATATTTGAAGGCAGAAGGTTAATAAAGATCGAAGAGAAAAGAATGAAAAGAGAGAATGATTTGTGTGAAAATGAAGGATTAATCAAGTCTGAGACAACTGATGAACATTTCTCAAATGAAGTATTTACTGTATAGTTCTCAGATTTTATTAATATGTTCTGTAATTTTGTATTCGCATATATTTAGTTGTCCCCGCTTGTGTTCTCGTTTACTACAAAATTACTTCATGACACTAAAATGGTGTTTATCCTTAAGACATTCGTTGATGATATATAAACGATAAAGTTCTTGTTTGGTTCATAAAATCATTAAACGTAAACGTATATAGTTCACTTGGTATTATTTACTTGAATCTTCCAATTGATGTTTAGGACTGCAGTTGATCAGTCTCTTATTGGCACATGTGCATACTGTGCATATTGCTTCGATATTGTCTTAATTCTCAAGCGTTTAAAGCAAAGATGGATAGTAGCTAGCAGTAGGATCGCGATGGCGTTTGAAGCGAACGGTACTGAGTTCGAGCTCCAGAGTAAACATCAACTCTGAGGTGCAAGTACACCCAGTTGACGAGTACCAAACAGAATGGACCGCGCGTCCTGGATTCCACTGCATGCCACTATCCATCTTTGCATTGAACGTGTATAGATTTGTAAATACTAGACAATTTGAAACATTTCTCTTTAGAAAATAATTTCATCGTTTTTATCCGAAAGTAACAAAATAAGAATGTAGATTATGTATGTGACAAACTGGAGCTATCAGGCAGTCATCAACTTGATTTCTTATCATTACTCCTAACTGTCAACGATATATTCTAGCCTCAAGTCCAATTTTTAAGTCTAAATCAACTTTATAACTCCACTGTGCGTCACTTCGTCTCGTTTCGCTTTGCTTTCTCCACTTCGTTTCTCTAATTGCCTGTCTGGATCAATTAGTGTATGAAATATACGTATTCAAAATTCATTCTCGTATTTAACCTGTTCCGTTACTCTCTAACACGGGCTGAATCAATGAAAATATACGAAGTTTGTTGCTATGTATATTTCGATAACAATCACAAAATAAAGGACCACTTAAGACAAAATAAACATAAGTAGTTATACATTTACTCCTGAATAAGTTAGCAGACAGTTGGACATTGTCTTATCTATGATGGAAATTTTTAAAATAAGAAGTGTAGAACAAAATTTCACCTTCATTGTTTCTGAAGGATGTTTTCCTTGACTTATTTGTTGTGCAACTTCTTTAGGTAAGCATTGTTCCAGCAGTTGATAGGTTTTTCTTCGTTGTTCATCGAGTTTTCTGGCTATTTTTGATAACTCCTTACTTTTTCTTTTTTGCTATGAATACAGAACAGAATTGTAGTTAATCTAAGTAATAATCTAATAAACTCATTCTAAGTATCAGCTTCAGGTAGCCCAATGTCAGAAACCTGGTGAGTCTGAATTGGAGTTACAAAACGCTAGAAGACACTACGTTTAAAAGAATTTTCTTTAATCTTCATACTAAACGACGACTTCATAGTCAAGCTACGCATCGGATTATTGAAAAAGATGTATAAATGTAAAAACGATCTCTCTATCTAAAACAAACCTGTTGTCAGAGCGATTGTTAAAAGAGATCACCTGAAGCTGTACAACAATTAACGAAGTAAAACTTTGCATAATATTGGACAGCGTCATAATTTACAATTTAAATGAAACGCGGTTGAAACTGGTTTTCTGTAGATAAAGCGTCTTAAACTCTCACATTGACGGAATTAATTTCAACCTTAGTTTCCTTGGGTATTCAAACAACATCACTTTAATTATGGTCGACACTACTATATTTCCTAGCATCAGTGCTGTGGTCATGACTTTCTTGTTAAGTGGCCGAGAAATTTGTTTAAACAATAATAACTGTTTAGCTGCCCATTAAACGTGTATTTTACGTACATTAGAAATAAATAACCGTCTTGCTCTTCACTGTTTCTCTCAAAAGTGTACGGATCAAAAGCTGGACGCCTCATCTATTCTTTTGTAAATTGCTTTTATGATAACATCCTAGATAAGTAAAAGTAATCTGAAATTTGATTAATTACAATTTATTATTTTGTATTTTAAAAATCCATTAAGTTAGTGGTTTTTTATTAGCTAAAGGGAAAAGTTTAGAATTTTACTTCCTCATGTGGGGCAGGTCACATTGGCCGCACAAAGCAATCACTTGTTAAACACATCTCAAAACACTACTTGGCATGGCTTTTAAAAGGAGAATGTAAAACAATCACCAGTTCAATACAAGAGCATCTAATCAACTCTGGACACATCTCTCCGAAGGAGTCTTCTTTTTAAATAATCTACACAGTCAAAGGAACTGGATCGAAGGGAGGTCGAATCAAAAACTTATGCACTGCTGAGGCATTGGCGATCCACCAAATCAAGCGCGAACTCTGCGTGCGAAAACGATACGTCCAACCTCTCATCCTTCCTTGGCCCTCATTCCCTTCTGCAGTATGTTTTGGTTTGTCCTTTTTTAAATAAGTGCATTGTAATCTTAAACCAGAATGAGTTACTATTCTTTCACAATTTTTCATAATTATTATTCAGTTGTTATTATGACCTTTATGTGTTTCGTATTTCATCATATCTGTAACTTGGACAATTACCTTACATAATTCAGACCCGTAAATTATTTCCATGCTTATATTCTTTTCTTACCCCTTGATTATTACGTAACGTCATCTGATAATAAAAGTCTCGAATCACCTTACGATGCAATCTTTTCTATCCTTCTATAGACATACAATTTCTAGGATTCTTTATTTATTATTATCAATATGGGGATTTATGGAGATTGTAGTATCTTCGCAATTGAATTCACGAGTCAATCTAAGTTAGACCAACATTAAAAACATGGTAGCACTGGACGGCCATCTCGTCTCGTTATGGGACATCTCAGCAGTGAGTATTCACGATCCCACGCGTGGGACTCGAACCCGGGACCTTCTGTCTCGTGTGTGAACGCTTAACCTCTAAACCAATGAGCCAGCATCCAACAGTGGTAGCGTCTAACTTCAGTCGATCCATGATCTTTAGCTTGTTTCTTCTGTAATTTCATTTTGCGAAAGCTCAGTGGAATAACTTCTAGCCATCTATCAAGCATTATTCTTTAGATTGTACATAAGTACTTCGATTATTCCTTTAATGTAGAGTGATGAATAAATGTTGTTTATGATTTAGAAATAATCAAATTATCTTTATTAACTCAGCCTGTGGCTTTTCTAGAATTACTACCGGTCCCAAAACTGGGTAAAGGAGGAGGGTTGGGCATGGGGTCAGCAACCCCACCCCGTAGAAAAAAATCTGTAAAAAAACGCCAACCAGTAAATTATCTTTATTACGAAACATTATTCTAAAATAATAATAATAATAAAACTCACTTTTTCTAATAAAAATAAAAGATTTTTAGATACTGTATCACCTAAGATCATTTTCTCAACTTTAATATCATATAAGTTAATGTCTTGTAAATCTAGTCCAAAGTCGATAAAAGATTTAATTTCTGAAAAACTAAAAACAAATAAAATAATTTAAAGGTAGAATTTTTTTAATTAACAGTATGGGGTTGTGGAGACTAGTAAATTTTTGATTGAGATCATGAACCGATTGATGTTAGACCACCATTGAAAACCTGGAAGCACTGGACGGCTGTTTCGTCCTGTTTTGGGACTCCTCAGCAGTGAGTATCCACGATCCTGCTTGCGGGTTACGAACTTATCAAGTTAGTCATTAATTTGATTATTTTAAGAATAATCAAAATAATTACAATTTTAATAAGATTTTTAATGAATAACTACGTTGGTTAGATAAAAAAAATTTGAAAAGTAGTATTTCTTGAAGATTTTCAAGCCTTTCAAATCATACTATTAGAACACATTTAAGAAAATAATAAGCAAACAAACAAAAGAATGAGATAAGACTTTCAAATTTTTTTTCAACACCATCAAATCATCCAACTTACTCTCAAAAAAAGAAGAAATATCCCTAAAGTTTTTTTTTACATTTTACTAAAATAACATCTGTTGCCTAGATACCATAATTGCAACATTAACTGTTCATATTATGTTTTAATATCAAACAAAAAATAATATATGTTGACTAGTAGTCATTATTATATATCCAAGGCTAGTGATTCTACATTCTGTTTATGATTGGTAATAAGTATATGCTCAAAGAAAATCTTAAATAATGAGATAACTAATTGGCTTCATAATGTCTGAGTCTACATTAAAACACATTGAATAATAGTCAAAGCGTATGAACAGAAGGTGAAATTTTTTTATGTGTTATGAATAATATTACATTATAAATTATAGTAAAACTGAACCATTCACTTACTTTGGTTTCCCTATAAAAAGTAACATTGACCATTCTTTTACATAAATCATTTGACCCTTAATATATAACATTGATTTTTGACTCTCATCTATAAAAAAAGGAAAAAAATCCATCTTGACATTATTTGACTTTGAAACAGTTCAATGGTTTCAGTCACTGGTACTAAAGAATCAAAGTTAATATTTGTGTAAGTTGAAGTTAAATGCATATTTTGTTTCAAGAGACTACTTAGCTTTGATTATTTAAATACTATCTGTTTAACGTACATATTCTCTCATTACTGAATGTACTTCATAGAGAATGATCGAAAGTAAGGTCTATTTTAACATGATTATTCATTCATCAGATTCAAGAGTATATCATAGAACTTATTCTCTTCATTATGAAAATTGTACTTATTTATAATTATAATACTAATAATAACAATGATGAAAGTTTAATTCAGCACAAGCAATTTTTTATAGTCAAAAATGAAAATTTGTCAATCACTACGGTGTTTGTGTTTGAGATTTCAAGTGTTTAAAATTACAACAGCCCATGAGCGCACACCATTGCAATTCATCATCACTTAGGTTAAGCAAATCTAAAATAGGAAGGTGAATTTCAACAATTATACAGTTAAAAAGTGCACTATTGAGTGACAAGATTATGTATATTTATATTCCTCTCTTTATAAGCTTCATTTTTACCTACTGATTATTATTGTCAGATGATTTACTCTCCTTAAGATATTCACAATTTATTAATTACAGTTTCTCACAATTACTGCCACTTCCTCACTTGATCTTGTACAAATGTTATTTTCTATCTTATGATATGAAGTGGTCTGGTTGGCTTGTACATATAAACTGTGTATGTTTGAAATAGATGATTCATATAATGGGGGGTGATATTAGTGCTGTGGAGTGAACAGGTAGGGCTAATCATGAAATGGACGAATAATGACTCTGAGCTGCTCATACCGGTCAATACGTGATTGTTGTGGCACAGTGTTAAGATAGTATAAGTCGTATTCTGATTGGTGAATAAATCACGTGGTAAATTGACCGGACAAAAGTCACAATATGATCTTTGAAAACAATTCTTAGAATCAACCAAATCTTACCAGAATATGCCCGATGATTTTTTTTCTTATTCTAGTTACGGATATTTACTTATCTCCCATTCATATTCACCTTCTTATTGCCGAATTTCCAAAGTTTATTCTTTGTAATGAATACTGAGTAAGAATTCAGTAGTGAGTATTTTCTTTATCTTTTAGCATTTCAAAAAGTTTGCTATTAAATACGACGATATGATATCACTTCATATAATAGATATTATAATTATCTCCCATGCATTAAAATAATGTACCATATAGTCTATTAACGTAGGAGATCCCTATGTTTCCTCATGAAAATTAGTGTAGTTTAGTCAGAAAAAAGTACTTAAATTGATGTTACAAATTAGAAATCCTATAAAGGGCTGTTTATTTTTAAAAAATTACACAAAAAATTAGTACATGATTGCTAATGATGTTGCCTGGTGAATTCCAGTCGAAACCCAATATATAACAAGTTATCAAAATAAATAAATATATACATAAACATTATCACCCACTCGATTTTCTATTAATCTTTAGCCCAATTTTAAACGTGGAAGAGGAAAACATCATAATCTGTTTAAAACAAAAATAAAAGAAATGTTGAGAAGACAAATCAAAGAGCAAAATAACATTTTAGCACGATATATTTTTGAAGGCATTTCATGAGATAAAACTTTCAAACGAAATCAGACTGTTTCAAATGTTGTTGTTTTTCAAATGAATAATTCAGTGCATTATTTTACTGAACTATCTCTTCAATAATTTAACCATACATTGTTACAATGTTGTTTGTATCTAAAATAAATGTGCAATAACACTTATTTACAACAATTAGTGGCCAGCAGTGGAATCAAGGACACACGTTTCGTCCTATTTGGGACTCGTTTCAGAGTTGATGTTTGAAGCGAACTGTACTGGATTCGTGTCCCACAATGAACACCAACTATGAGATTCAGGTACATCCAACTGGTGAGTCCCAAATAGAACGAATTGTGCGTCCTGGATTCCACTGCTAGCCATTATCCAACTTTGCTTGAAACGCTTGTGAATCAAGGCAATGCCAAGGCAATACGCATAGTATGCACATATGCCTATAAGAGACTGATCAATTGCAGTCCTAAACATCAATAGAAAGATTCAAGTAATCAATATCAAGTGAACTAATCGATTATTTTCTCCAATTTTTATTTAACTCATTGGTTTACATTTCTTTTTGTGACAAATGAATTTTTAATTTAAAGACTAATTCAACAACTTCGAAATAAATTTTAAATCAGAGCATGTAAATGGTCTCTCAGATGATAACTAAGTGTTTAAAGAATCCATTACTCATTTAACAAGTAAAATATGTTTGTAATAATGACGTGAATGTAGAGCGATGGCTAAGACGTATTTCGCATTACTAAGATTCACTATTTAAACATTTGATTGAGCAGGACAGTTTACGATTAAAATTCTCCTGATAGATATTTTATTCAAAATTGTTTTCTTATGTTTGTTACTGGAAAGCTTTTATTTGTCTCATCTTACAAGCACTATCGAAATGACTAAAGATATATCTTCAAATCTTAGATATTTATCTTCTGAAAAAAAAATTCGAGATCCTTTATACAAACTGCTTAAACAACATATCTTACTGTAAGTCCAGACGAATCTTATTGTGATACACGTTTCAGGTGTATATTTACTAACTTTTGATGGATTAATTTAGAGACATGTTCTTCTGAAATAAAATGTTGTGAAAGAGATTGATTTAAAAATATGGTTAAATACGATCTTTTAAACCTGTATAAATTTATATCTTACTTAAGGATGTTAGTAATAGAATGTTTGTTATTAACACCACTGTCTTCAGTACAACTTAACAAATATACTGTAAAGATTATTTTTTTTCTTTAAAAATATATCATCGTATATCTTACCCGTTCAAATAATGGTTTCACAATTGGTAACATGATGACAAAATGTTCTTGAAACTTAGTATTGATTAAAGTTGGCTGAAATTCTAATAATCGTTGTCCAGCACTATGTATCATTAGATTTTTATCGATTAACAAATGGAATGGTAATAATCCAAAAAATTTTTTATTTGAAATTTTTGGTAACATATTCATTGTATCTAATCCAGTCTTTACCATACAAATCTCATATTCTTTAAAACTTTCACCAATAAATAATTCTAATGTAAATACAGTTCGATATAATGAACCTTCATTTGATTCTGAATTGATTTTAATAATTAAATGTAGTTGATAAATGTATTTAGCTACTTCAAATAATAGTCCTTTTGTATAATGATTATAACCAGGTCGTGTTGTTGTATATTCTAACATTATACAACTTGATGTACTAGATAAGATAACAAATGTCGGTGGTTTAATACGATGATAACTATAACGTAAATATTTATGATGATCATTTAAATTTAATAATAAATCTTTGAATGTTTTACCAGATGCACGAAGTAGTTTTTCAAAACCATTTCTAATTAAATATTGTATGGTATAACGTCCAATCCCAAAAAGAATTGTATCTTTATCTGTGAATATTTTATCACCTAATATTGTGGCAATTCTTGCCATCAAGTTGTCATGGTATATTTTTTTAGTGTCAATATCAAATTCTTTACCAGTAGATTTTTTACATAACCATATCCATGTATTTTCACCATAATTGTCTATAATATAATGTTTAGCAGCTTCTAATAATATACCATACATAATTTCTAATAAATTACTGATACTGAATAAAAGAAATTAGAATAGAAATATTATTTATTTACAGCTAATTCGTAGTATTTATTTATGAGTGTAAAGTGTTTCCATTGGTTCATATAATATATACAAGCTTTTACTACTTAAATAGATAATTTATGAGATATATCAAGCCTAATAACTTCTTAGTCATATACCGTAGATTATAATAAAGGACGCGATCTAAATGAAATTGGCCAGTTATCAGGTACATAGGCAGTCTTATGCAGATTTTAATTATGATTCAAATATGTTTTTGTTATTCCCTAACTTGTATAGTATTCAATTCCAATACTGAGTAATGGAAGAATTTTCCTGAAACTGACTATAGTTATCATAATTGATACTGACAGTGATTTGTTTATACTGTCAACTAATTGAGGTGATTTGATAGTATTGATTATGAGACTGAAAAATGAATCACTTTATAAAATCATTTGATCTCAAGTGACAGATTTAATGAGTTTATTAAGTTATCAATATTAGTATTTGACCACAGATGCCTTGAAAATATTGATGGCATCTGTTGGAATCACCGGGTAAGTAATAGTGAGGTTAGACGCAGGGTATTAGGAAATGATGGTAAACCAGTTGATGAGGTTGTGAATCTTCATCGACTGAGGTGGTTGGGCCACGTGTTACGTATGCCACAACACCGATTACCACGACGTGCAATGCTAACCGGTGTAGGGGATGGTTGGAAGAAAGTTAGGGGTGGCCAAACCAAAACGTGGCATCAGTGCTTGAAGTCACTAACTTCTAGTCTGAGCCATGTTGGTAGATACTACTAAACTACTTGGTTGGGGTCCACGTGACTATCGTGACCAATGGTTGGAGACTTTGTGTGACATGGCTCAGAATCGATCACAATGGCGTTGGTGTATACACCCTCTGTCTTCCCTTAAACTAAGAGATTAAAATCGCTTCATATCTTTCTTTCTACGGACTAATTGTTTCTTCCTGTACTATATCCTTTTACACACTCTTTTATATATTAGCACCTCTGAACTAACTACTTTTATGAATCCGGTGTTCATCTTGTTGTGTTAATGAGGTATGGCAACTTGGACCGATGCATATATGTACGTGGTCCTACGTTATAGCTGACTGACTGAAAGTCTGGAAATTATTAATTCAATACCTAGAAAAATGTTTATAGAACTCAACTAAAAGTAACTAGCGAATGAAAATAGCTGTATTACAATGATTTCAAATAGCTATTTAACTTGTACTGACCCCTATGGAATTACATATCTTTTGTATTATGTTGAATTTTAGGTCGAAACTCATGTTAAAAATAAGCTTAAAAAAGAATACCGAAGTAGAATAATTCTGCCCTTGATGTTACGGTTATATTAGTCTTTTCTGTCATTTTTATGTAATTAGTATATAGTCATTAGTGACAAATGATTTTATTCCCCGACTCCCCATATTATTCATATATAGAATATATAAAATCATGATGAGATATTCTTTTAAATTATCTTACTAACCATTTTACAACAAATCGTTCTAAACAAATCAAAGGCAACTATGGTGTAAAAGTATAGTAGTTCAATTAAATCACTAGGTTAATTATTTACCAACTGTTCAAATATCTAAATAATTTTCTCGCTTTTTCTTAACTAACCACGTCATTTATTCTGGTTTTATATAAATGTTTACAACTAATCATTTTACTTACATTGCAAAACTTAAGTGAAAATGTGGCAGTCATTAGTTATTTTCCCATGTACATAAAGTCCTATAAAGGTACTCAATGATAAATTGTATAGCATGGGGATTATGGTATGTATTACGTTATGAGGTTAGGACTAGTCTAAAATCATTACAGTTTACCAAGCATTCAAAATGCAATATTATATAAAGCGATTTCTAACAACACAGATAGTATCTATGTAGAATAATTCACTAAATTTATTTGCTAATAGAAGGAAACACTTAGGAGACAATATAAAATTGCGTTTTGAGTAAAAGTAATAAACGATAAAATTCACTAGTATTTCATCGGTTTTATGTCATAATGACACAATATCTTCTCACTCAAAGTTTATCTAATAATCTGTTTGAACCACCTAACCCTCTAAATCAAAACTTTGTTTGCATCTGAAGAGAGCACTCTCTATGATATTTAGAAATGATTGACGACTGGGTAGTGACCAATGTCATGTACGTCACTACTTACTTAGTGAAGATCGAATGTTATCGATCATTTGTAAATACATATCATTCCTATAAGAGATCAGTCGGCGACCCGAATAGCTCAGTGGTAACGTCTATGACTGTGAGGCTGTTTGACACAGATTGAGTCCAACAGCGAGTATCACTTCACTCAAGGTTACTGGCATATCTCGCTGATGAGTACTAAATAACACGAAAGCTGCTTCAAATGTTCCCTGTAGATTACTTCCAACCATCAGTCTACATTAAGATATCAACAAAGCACATTGGAGTGTTTCAGAACTTCCGGTTTGCCAGTTGAATAATAATCAAATTTCAAACAGTATAGACTGTAATTAAGTTGCTCATACAATGAAATCAACTGTCCAGAGAGTACCGACGCACTTTCAATCTACTTCGTAGATTTTCTAACAGATTTTATGGTTAGTTCTGTTAGTAATTACAATCAGATCCCAAGGCCGGGAAAGGAAAAAGGGTTGGGCATGCGGTTACCAACCCCAATAGAACCTTCCAGATACTGAAAAACTCAATGAATTGAACATAGTTCTCAACAACAGCTTCCAAGTCTTATAAGATCTACTCGAACAATAGAAAACTAATATGGAAAACAACTGGAAATGGATTAAGGGAAAAGTAACTTTAACGTATCGGAAGGTTCTGAGCCTATGTGTCACAGATCGATCATACGCCATTCAGAAGAGTTCACTTAATATCATATTCTATTTAAAATTTAGTTTACTTATTTCGCAAACAGCAGTATAGCAAGTGCTGCAAGAAATATATAAATTTAGTGTTCCATAATCTTTTATAGTCTTCTTGCAATAGTAGAAAAAATTTGTATCGTAAATTATTGCTCTTATTGATGTTCTGTCTATATGGAAATCTCCTACATAAAATAGACCATCTTCATGTTGTCCAGCATAACAATGACCATCCTTCACTAAGATCACCAACTTCAGAGAACTAAATCATCTTTACTAACTATCATATCCAATAAAGTAAAGTTTCTTTTCCAAAATTTATTTAAATACAATTTGACTTTGCTTTGAAAAAAAGATGCCTAGATTTACTAAGTACACATTCATTTCAAAAAGGATTATTTGCTTTTTACTTTACTTACACCCTGTTACCCTCGATGGAGCATAGGCCGACAACCAGAGAATGAATCACTATTAAATATAAATCGATGTTTACATATTTAACTAAATTGAATACAATGTTTCATGAAAATCCAATTTAATAAACAAATTTTAAAAAACAGTAATTAGATCTTTGAAGCATTTCACACCTCAATCAAGAAACTAATGATGATGATAATGATAATAATAATGGCAAAATAAGTAGAAAAATCCCTTTTTTTAAAAAAAGAAAAACAAACTATTATTCTTTTTAAGTAATCTATTAACAACATAAGTTTATTTTTCTTGTATATAATACGAGAAAGATCTAGTTTAATGATTCTTTTTTTTTCAAAAAGAGACACTTAATTGCTAAATATACGATTGAATTCAATATAATTGAACAACTACTTAATTTGGATTATTTTGAAACTTTTGATTGAAAAACGAAAAAAACTAGTTTCCTTGATAAATCATTTTCACAGATTGAAATCGTGAGTCAGTTGAAGCTAAACCACCATTGAAAACCTGGAAGCACTGGACGGCCGTTTCGTCCCAGTATGGGACTCCTCAACAGTGCGCATCCACGATCCCGCACTCCACGAGATTCGAACATTAACACCGTTGGATGCCGGCCCAGTGGTCTAATGGTTAAGTGCTCGCGCGCGAAGCCAGTAAGTCCTGGGTTCGAATCCCGCGGGGTGCGGGATCGTGGATGCTCACTGTTGAGGAGTCCCATACTAGGACGAAACGGCCGTCCAGTGCTTCCAGGTTTTCAATGGTGGTTTAGTTTCAACTGACTCATGATTTCAATCTGTGAAAATTTCTAGAATCCCCACAAACCCCTTCTGACAAATCATTTTGATAAAAACAAAAAAAATATAATAACAACTTCATTATTTATGAAGAAATCATTAAGAATTTCAATAGTTGAGTTCATGAGTCAATCGAATCTAGAACATCATAGAAAACTTCGAAGCACTGGAAGGCCGTTTCGTCCCATTGTGAGACTCTTCGTGGATGAGCACTGCTGAGAAGTCCCACATTAGAACACAACAACCATTTAGTGCTTCCAAGTGTTCCATGGTGATCTAATTTCGAATGACTTATGATCTCAACTATTTAAATTACGGTAATATCCACAAAAACCTCTTCTGATAGAAATCATTCAAAGTTTAAAAAATCAAATGGTAGAGAAGAAACATTAAAAAGAAAAGGGAATATTAATTTTTTTTGGCAAAAACAAAAAAATAATTCCCATATAATCAAAATGTTTATATAAAAATAAATAAAATAGAGATTAGAGTAGATAATTGTGATGTTTTTATGAATACATTAGTGAAAAGAAAAAGTGTAATTCTATCAGTATCACTATTATCATGAATGTTTGTATTAGAGATGTACAATAAAAAAGATAAATACAATAAAACGTGAAAATGTATATTAGATAGAATGTTAAAAAGAGTTTTATTTATATCTTTTTTTAATGGATAGAAACAAATAAAAATTATTGTTTAATCTAGAAGATACTACTTAAATAATAAGGGATAAAATTGTAATATTCCAATTAAATCTGATAATTATTCGTTAAATTATCAATTAATTCATAATATTTGATTGATATTAAAAAAACGATTATTGATAAAATAGTGGATCTTGAGTGTTTTGAATGTGTCTTTTTATACTTTCATTTTGAAGGATCCTTAAAAATTTAGGTGTGTTAGATTTCAAGTTGATGTAACCGAATACGGTTTAAGAGTTATTCTGTCAACTGAAAACTAATTTACTTGGGACAATTAACATACGATTGAGAATCAAGAAACCACACGAAGATATATGTGAAGTCGATGAAAATTACGAACAGATATAATGATCATTTGGCTAGAGAAAATTCACAATTAGAATGTATAAATTAATCTTATTCATGCCTTGATCTAACTTATTTTGAAATATATTTTTCATATTCCTCTGATTAGATTTATTTGAGCTCCAAGGGAATAAAACTCACCACTATGGCAATATTAGTCGTCCAATACTGACATTTGTACCTGGATGTTTTAAAATAGGCCAATGCTTTTGAAATTGCTGTGAATTAGCTTTAATTTTGTGGAGTATACTGACTTTCAGTATTATGCTTGAAGCTTAAATTTTTACTAAATTTTGTACTCAGATTTTACTTTAAGTTATTCTTAAGAACTGATAATGTTTTAGGTATATTTTTGTTTTCTATCTGGTGTTCTGCTAAATTTTGTACTTTTTGAAGTGGGATTTCCAAATTCGCGTAATGGTCAGGCATACTCAAGTGGGAGAAACTAAAAATAACTGTCATTGACTCGAAGAGTCATGATAACGAAGTCGCGATTGGAGAGCAATATATACTAGTTCGGAAACAGAAGAAGGAATCTGCCACAGCCACCTCATCACTCCAGTTAAAAATAAGTCCTTCAGAGTTTTCCTCACGCAGTGACAAACTTATTCAATAGTCCCATAGTTGGATTATAAATTAACTTGGCCTAGATGACAGCAATCAAACTGCTTCCAATACTATTTTAGCGACCTGGAAGAATGGGAAGACGCCGATTAAAAAAATCAAACATACCAGTGATATAAATCAGTCAGTTGTGTTACGTTAAATCAGTAATTAGAAACTTTTTCAACTAAAACTTGTGACTTTGAATATACGTGTGCAAATTAAAGGAAATATAATGCTGTTTTATGCATGTAAAAATTAAGCTTTTGACGAATTGTCACTTTATGTAAAGACAGTATTGAGGCCAGCTTACCCTTTTTAATTTAAATGAAATAAAATACTATAAACTACTAGCGAATGAATAAACAATACCTATTTATTATTGCAGTTCAAAGCCTTATGATTAGGATTTTAAGTAATTTATTTTCACCTGCGATTATTTATGAGAGAATTAGTGGTTTCGGTGTAAATGTGATCTCCATCAATCATTTCAGGTGTCGTCACTAAATGAACACGACTCTACAATTTTTTTTAGTGCATTTTGTTTGTACTTCCCATTTGATTTCAAATTTTATAACATTATTCGAAGTTATCTTTGTGCCAACTACTTATCCATATATATAGTAGTGTGAAAACTGGTTTAGAAAGAAACCATCCAAGGAATCATTAGCCCGATAAGTTTAAGTTGATAAATTGAGTTATTACCATAAATTCTTACAAAGTGAAAAGTTTCGAATTTTTTAGTTCGCGTATTAGAATCATTAATTAGGAAACATCCATCATTTTAATAAAATTGAATACTTTCTCATACAAAATTCATAATTCCACTTCAAAACCAAAGAACCGGTGAAAAGATGTTCCTGTCACATCAATATACCATTCTGATAAATGATAAGTTCGTGACTAAGATCTAGTTTTATTCTCTAAACACTAGTCAATATGAACAAAGTGCATTATGGCTTTATGAAATCAAATAATACCAGTGAAATAGTTGAAGCAAATTTTGTTCAGAAAGAAATTCGAGTACCATTTGAACTACTATATGCCAAACTAGCTAGATAAATATTTCAAACTTACAGAAAATTAATCATATTTTTAGCAGAGTTATTCATACCATTCTGAAACAACAAAGATTCAGTTAGCTGACAATCAAAAACCGACAACCATTTTTTTTAAATCATTTCCGTCAATCATTTTGTTTGATATTTAAAATAACAAAACAGTACAGACAACCTTGGCCGAATTTGGCCTTGAAGGTCGAATGTGTGACATATTGATATCGGACAACTCTACGGTATGGTTGAGACGGAGTACTAAGTAAATCCATTATGGTTTTATTCTTGGTTATTTCTCAAACCATTAATTTCATTTTGGGATTATATTTAGGTATCACTGTATAAAAAAGTATGTAATGACAGCAAGAATATATTGACAATCGACTTTAATAGTATAATCTGACTCGAAAGTCATTAATGATAAAGACCCAGCAAAATTCAGTTAGCTATAAAGTCGATGCGTATCTTATAAGGGAGAATGGTAGAAAGAGGTACAACAAAACATGATTTTTATTTCTACTTATATTAAAATCATCCTTATTTTAGTGTTGCGGCTTAGATACTTCGGATTAGAAAAACAAGTTGACTGAAGAAATATTTCTTTTTAATTAGTTCCTTATTATATACACACAACCATTTTTGTGTTTCGGCTCGATTGTGCCCGTGGTATTACTATTTATACTTAGCGATCGGGAGGCGCTGTAATTCCTGTGGCGCAAAATGCAAGCACAAATACTTGTAAGATTAAGGTTTATAAACTCTTAGGAACACAATCACAGAACACGTCGTCCAAAATCACTTCATCATTAAACCAAACGCACTAATTTATATACTGATCTTACACACTTGATGATTTGTAAATAAAAATCTTATAAATGGGAAGATGAACAGCCGTACTGTTAAACATAAACGAAATCCGCATGGAATTGTCATTTCGGACAAAAGTTCACACCTACTATACTGAACAAAATTCACATTTAATAGGTACCTTAAATAAATGTCACACTTAGGAATAATGCTGATGTCATAAAACGTTACACCTAGTTGAAAATAATGCGAACTCGCCATCTTATCAAAATGTAACGTTCCTAATCAAGGTTCTACAATAATATACAAGATATTCAAACTAAATATAAAATCAACATTTAAATGAATGGTGGTAAATCAATGGGAATAATCAATAAATTTATCCATTTTTTTAAGCATGAACTGATTTATTTGGTTTTGAACCAAATTATTTGTATGATCAAGGTTTATGACAAATACTTATGTGACTTTCAAAGGATTGAAATTTATAACTAATCGGTTCAAATTCTTAAGATTTAACCACTAAGCTATCGATAATATTTTGTAATTTTGGCATAAATATACAATAATACTTTTACTACAGTATTGATAGTAGTTTATTATATACACATTGTCGGTTGATAATTATTTGTTTATTTGAACACATAAATATTGGTACAACAGGGCACCAAATATATATGCACCATACAAAACAATGAGAATTCGAAGAGAAAAAAATGGAGGTAAGGAGCGTAAAAAAAAGAACAATAACGAACAGATTAGTGTAAGGTAGTGTGATGGTAATAATAATAATGCGGAAATGGGAAGGCAAAACCAGAAGAATTCTTTCAGTTAAGGAAGTTACAACCACCTTTTATGAAAAAAGTAAAAGAAGTTTACAGCAGCATCGCCACTGGCTTCTATTCTGAGCCATATATGATAACGTCTCTAGCCACTGTGTAGCACCATCTCTCAGACCCCAACCAGGGAGTCGTGAAAAACCAACAGAAGCCAGCCCAATTGAATTATCGTCTGTGTCTGAACACACGATGCCGAACCTCTGCATTACTAACATGGTGTTGCAACTGGATATCAGCAATCCTTCGGAGACAACGATGATCAAACACAGAGTCGTCTGATATTCTCGACTCGAATAGGCCAGGTTTCAAAAACAGAGCAAAAGTGCTCTCTTTGACGCGTTGTATGTCAAACCTTTTACAACCAGACTAACATCACGAAGATGCCAAAGATGGCCCAAATTGACATAATTTGCTCTTGCTTTCAACACTTACGCCACCACCAGCACTTATGCAACTACCTAGATACACGAACTTCTCGACTACTTCTATTTGCTCACCACCCAGGGTGAGTACAGGATTATAATCCTACCAGTCTTATAGAAGTACTTTGCACTTCGAAGGTGCAAAGCACATACGTACCTATGCACGCTGATAATTATCATTAGTAAAAAGAAAAAAAGATGAAATTTAATAATTTAGGTAATTTTATTTAAAATTTTATCATTATTATTATTTATAATGTTTTGTTCTAACCAATTAGCGTAATCAAATTCAATTCCAAGACGAGCTAAAGTATTAGAAAAATAATCAGGCAATTCATATGAATGACATGTTAGGAAGTAATAATTAATTGTACGATTATTATTATTACTGGTTGTTGTCTTTGTTGTCGGTATTGTATCACTGTCGACTTCCTGCTTAACACAAGATAATGATAAGGGACTAGGTTGTGATGATATATTACAAGATTTTAAAGAAAAGCTTTCAGATTTGATTTTAAAAAGATGTGAAGGCTTTTTAACATATGATTTTATACATAAATTTGGGGCATTCATATAAAATGGTATAGGTAGATATAAATGGGAACGATGAATATGAACTGGTATATATTCGAAATTAATATTGGATTGACCAAGAATTCGACGTTGTTTCAGTGGTATAGAATAGTTTAAGCGAATTTTATTAGGCGGTAAGACAATAGGTGATATCCCAGTGTTCACAAGACGTGAAGCCTAAACAAAAGGTATAAATTGGAAGTAAATAGTTATTTTTATTAGCTATTTCACTTAAAAATAAATGGAAATTAAGTAAAGATTCATAATGAAGACAAATCAACTAATCGGGATATTAAATTCACTTGGTATTGTTTACTTGAATCTTCCCATCGATGGCTAGGATTGCAACTGATCAGTCTCTTATTGGCATATGTGCATACTGTGCGTATTGCGTCAATGGCGTTTGAAGCGAACGGTACTGGGTTCGAGTCGCAGAGTGTACATCAACTCTGAGTTAGTTATTCAAAAAGATTTGTTTATAACTTGGTTGGCTACTAACTGGTGGCTAATGTTATGTTTGTCTAGTCCTTAGTGTTGATTGAATTCCATCGACCAAGTTGCAATGTGGTCACCAGTCTGAGTGATCCGATACTGATTGAATTATATTTTGATGTTAAGTGGTTGGAGGGAGGGAGTCAACAACCAAATTCTAGACTTGAGTTCTGTGTGAATTGCCACTAATCAGCAAGGCGTATCTAGAATATTTATGGAAATAATTATTCCGGTGGAATTTGAAAGTGAATCCGTAGACAACTTCCAAAGCAAATGGACCTTATAAGGTAATCATCTTCTTACTTTCGTTTTTTCTTAAAGTTAAGTCAAAACGAAGCTAAATAAAAACTCCAAAATTGACAAATAACGACAATCACTACGCTACTTTCATAAATAATCTTTTGAAAACACACATACATGCATTCAAACGTACTTGAAATGTTTCTCCGACAACAGTGCAACCTTCATATAATAAGTAGACTTCAGGTAAACCACGATACAGACTGTTTGTTTCAAGTTTGACAAGACTGGAATTCTCAGAACCTTCGGAAAGAATTGTATGGTGAACAGATTTTTCTAGAATAACACCTTTCAATTTTAAACCTTTCGAAATTTCATTTGGAGATGGTCTGGAAACAGTGGAAACAAGTCAAAATAAAATAAACAACAAATATTCATATGGTTGAATATTGATGTACTTACTGCTTAATAGTTTTACTAATGAGAAGTTGAATACGTAAGGAAAAAAATGAAATTTGAGTATATATATGCCATCCTCGTTCCTTTCTTCAAGTCCATGTCGTCTCATGATGTCTTCATACCCGATATTTCCATAATGACCTTGGTACTCAGATCTATCATCACGATGGTCAGGTTTTTCCTTGGACAGGTCTATACAATGAACTGTATCCCCCATAAAACTGGTCTTTATCGTCTTCATTGCTATCATTTTTTTTGGGGGGGATATCACTGGGTGAAATTGATTGTAACCCTCTTCTTCTTTGTTTTAGAGGATACTTTGATGGTGCTAGTGTGGTGAGATTCCCATCCTATATGTGCTTTTTCGTGATTCCTTGAGTAGAATCAGTGGAATTTCATGTGTCCGAGACATTTTCTCCTTGTTTGTGACCAGAATACAACGGAATCTGTCCAGAAGCTATCTTTTCTGTTCAGCTTGTGTCTAATAAGTTCCGCATATTCTAAACAAAGCAAGGTTGAATTCTCTCATTTCTGTAGTTATTTGAATGATCCTCTTTGTATTCTATAATGTCTGGCTATTCCACGTACCTGTATTATTTGTTCCTCTGATTACCAAAAGGAGGATTGTCCTTGTGACCTCCGAAGAATCTCGACTTAAGGTATGAGGTATCATAACTCTTCTTCAACTTCTAGAGCAGAGTTAAGGTGACTTAAATGATTTTTACTGGTTACGTTTTTCTGCAAAATTATATTATATACATTAACTCAGGTTATTTCAAGTACATTTATTTATTAATTATAAAAGTGATCATGAAATCTTAACACATTTATCATATGAACTAACAATCAATTATCTACTGTACATTCAGCTGACGAGCCCCAAGTAGGACGAAACGCGCATCCTGGATCCCACTGCTAACCACTATCCATCTTTGCTTATATTATATATTGTGTTGTCAAATACTTGTTCACTAATAAATGAAGCTTTCATAAGGGGTTGAACGGCAGCATGAGATACATTTGCTTTGTGAAGGTTTATGTCATGTGCTGTTAGGGGTATGAAACTGGTTTTCGTATCCCGGTTACACACACTATTGAATGACAATCCTTCTACGAGAAGAATCTGAAGAGAAAACTAGGTTAGTGTTGGTTTTTTAAACTTGAGAGCTTGACTATAAAACTCAAGGGATACTTGTTTGAAACAGGTAATACAAGAATGTTATGTGAAAGGTTTTAGATGAGCTAGATTTGTATATTTCAAAACTTAACACAAGTGATGAAAACCAGTGGGACAACATAAGGGCTGCTATTTTAGGGTCGACTTTTTCTAACTTCTACCTTTCATTGAGTAAGGGCAGAATTGCTGGAAAGGCTGGTAGTCTGAGAGAAGCACTTAACTATCATCATACCTCAGTACAACTTCACCCTTGAAAGGTAAATTTACTGCTTCTAGTAATGGAGCTCAAGTACTACGTTAAATTGAAGGTTTATGGGAATGACCAAACTAAACTGAGAGTAAAATATAAGACTTTATGCTGTCGGTTGAAATCTGACTGACTGGACCAGTTAACCATAGTTCTTATACAATGTATGTTGCTATTACATAGTGAGTCTAACCACAGAACTATAAGACTTCAAGTGTATTGGTCCAATCAACCAGAAACCCCAAACTTTCAAGTTTGATAATTTTATTCAAAAAACTAAGCTTTAATCAAACTTAAGAGATCGATAGATGGAGACAGGTAGAAGTTATACAGAAAAATAAAAAGAAAAGTACAAAATATAAAAAAATGGTGTATTTGTCTAGAAGAATCGGTTATGTAGCCAAAAAACACCCTTAAAGTCATATAAACATAGAGATTATAGACATAAAATAAAACGTGGAACAAAAACAACTTAGATATACAGACATATGTTTCATTGATTGATTGTTTTTTACGCGCTAGTCAATCTGCATAAATAAGCTAAAAAAAACAAAGCAAGAAATGTATTGTAATTTCGAAGAAAAAAAAGCAGTCTGGTAAACAAAGAATCGTGCTAAAAGCGGATAGACTCATAAATTACAATACATCATGAAGTTATTGACTGTACATTTTAATCATTAAAGAAACGAAAGATTTACTGAATGGAGTGAATGAAACATGACTTTGAACCAGTTACAATTACATGAGTTCTTTTAAATGTAAATTAACTTCAAAATCTTAAACATGTCATGAATTATCATTTATTTCATCTGTTTTTATCCTAATCTTTTCAAATTTGTTGATTTCTTTTCTCAATGCTATTAAACAAATTGTTTCATCGTAAATAGATGAACCTGTAGTGTCTAATGCTATGTCAACAACAAATGAGTTATTCCAGCTTCTGGGCATATTAATATACATATTCATCTGGAATAACATTTTGACCTTGTCAACTACTCAACTATAACCTTGACTTTTTATATGAAAGTATGTGTCAATCGGTTACCCTATACATAATATATCTTTAGCTTATTTTTGTCTGGCTATAAGTATTAAGTCACGCTTTATCGATGGGAGTTGTCATATTTGCCTTTTTCAGTCTGCTTCTCTGTTTTGTTTCTTTGATTGTCTGTCTGGATCAACGAGTTTATGAAATATAAGTATCCGAAATTCATTCTTGTATATGACATATTTTATTCCGTTATTCTCAAACACGAATTAAGTTGATAATTATATACGAGGGTTGGTGGCATTTATATTTCGTTAATATCATCATACGATCTAATCGGAGTAAGATCCACAAAGAACTAAAACCCTTGTGTTATATTTTTCATGGTTTTACCTGGTAGAATAATGCATTCAGTTGCTGACTTATATCTATGGATAAAATTGTCATCTAAAGCCAAGTTCAAAATGTAAATTTGTTTGGAATGTATTTTTAGCTTAAGAGTTCTGTGATAGAAGAAAGTGATCAGTTGACAAATATCAATACAATAATCACCGGTGTTAGAAGTAAAGTAATTGTTCACACCACAAGAATACAAAAGGGTGAGTTATGAAGCATTTTGAAGGTAAGAAACAGTTTCGTACTTCAAAAGTATCTGAACATTTTAGGCTGGTTGATTGGATACAGGAAAGATCAAAAGCAACAAGTCTAAGGTCCGAAGGTAAATTCGTACTGCCGATTGTACTGGGTTGTGATGGTAGTAAGATCTTTCCTATAGATAACGAGCAACTTTTATGAATTTGCATTTCTGCAACAAAAGGTAGGGTTTAAAAAAGGTCAACCCCTAAAATAGCACTCTTCATGTTGTCCCACGGCAAAGTTTTAAAAGTACAGATGTGATACATTCAAACTCTCACAAAATAGTCATATGTACACTTGACCTTAAACAAGTTTCTCATGAGTTCTTCGGTCACACTCTCAGATTATCAAAGCCACCACCAACTTTATTTTCTTTTCAGATACATCGATTTCTTTTTGCAAAAATATGAAGTTGAAATAATCTGTTTTTTAAACAAAAATAAAATAAGCAATGTGAAATCAGTGTTTCGTCACGAATCACTGAGGGTTAGAAAGTACCGGAAAGCTATTACATCCTAGTACGGAACTCCTCATCAGTATGTACTAACAATACCTCCTACAAAATAAACTAATCTTCACAAAACCTCTTTATTAAAACAATAATAAAAATTAACAATAATCTCACCTATAACCGACACGCAGATGATCATGTAATGCATAAGCAGCAATCGGAAATGATGTTGGTTTTGACTGAATTTGTTGTGGTTTACCCCAACAAACAATTAGGAGTTTTTGATATAGTTCCCAAGGACTCTATTTCATTAGAAATTAAAAAATGAAATTCGGAGTTTAAAAAGCATAAACTTTCGCTTGAAATAAGTCAGTCACAATGACGAACGTGGCGCATCTGTACATCAGTTGAAGTTCCATGGAAACTTGACCTACAGGTCTAATCCACAAGGCAGTGGAGCAACATGGGGAGATGTAGTCACATGGTACCCGGTGACAAACGATTGGTTTGTACTACATATGTTCCTTCAGGATCCTAGAGTCCATGTACACCTGGCACGTCTGTACATCACTTCAAGTTTTCATACCCCATTAGCACAAACAGATGAAATTATTAGGCCAAACCCCACAATAGTGGAGGAGTAACAGTTTCAGTGGTAATAGGAAAGATTGGACATCGAAGCTCTAACTCGAAAATTGAATATAATTTACTGAAATAAGAACGAAAAAAAAGTTATAAAGAATATAGAACCCCAAAGTTTTGGGGAAGACAAACAATTGATGCAACTGCGCCATTCCAAACGATTTCGAGCCAGGTCATTCAAAGTGTCTAACAATTCGTTACGATGATCACTCGGACTCCAACCAAATAGTCAACATCTGTTGACACGGCTAAGTCCAATTGTCAGTAACTCCATGGATTGATGCTATGTTTTGATTTGGCCGCCCCTAGCCTTCGTCCAACCTACTCTTAAATCGCACAACATTCTCCATCGAAGTAGGTTGGCAAAAACCAGTCGACTCTTATGAATCCAATTTGCTTTTGCCAATATGATGAATTGAAATTGGTAATCTGCTAATGCTTCTATTGAGTCAACAAAACTTAAATTTCCATAGTTTTTACAAGTCATGAATCTTAGACTGCCATTGAAGACCTAGAAGCACTGGATAGCTGTTTCGTCCTAATATGGGACTCCTCATGTCAGATGTGAGACAGTTACCCATGGCAGGTAATAAAAGATAGTTGCACAATACCACGAATTGATAGGAGTTGGATATTAACACAATTGGATCTCGGTTCAGTGGTCTAGAGGTCAGGAATTCGCGCGCGAGGTAATAGATCTGTACAGATTATTTTGAACTGAAGTTAGTTTTATGTCGCCAATTGATATCAGGTATGGAAACACTGAGATAAGGAGACGCTAGACAATCGTTTCGAGTTAAATGTCTGACATCCCAGTGAAAGGACGTGGCTTGTTAAGTTCGACCATCCCCATACCGAGGCAGTTACCGAACAATGGATACTGAAGGCTGTCTCGGTATGTAGTGAACTTATGCAAGTTGGAAATGTGAACCATAGGAGACTAACTCAATAGTCTAAAAGCAACGCGCCCCCGGAGAGACCTGAGGGTCTTAGGTTTGGGCCTCGAAGTCATGAGTGTCCATTGCTGGAGAGTCCCATGTTGGGACGAATCAGATCTGTGGTGTTCTCTGGCCTTCCATAATACATTGACTAGTGTCCATGTTTGTTTTTTATCACTTATTCCAAATAGTAAAACCACACAGATTATGCATAAAATTGAAGTCATGGCATTGTCACTGTAAAAAATTATGTGCATCCACATAAGACTCTCTTTTATAAGAAATTAAATAAATATTATGTAGTTTGAGGATTTTCACTACAAACAGATAAAGAATATCACTAAAATCACTGAAATTCCAGTAAACAAAAAAGACAATTCGTGACTACAAAACACAGTAAAAATTTCCACAAAATTTATCATAATTGATTTCACAGGATGAAGAAATGAAAGGAACAAAGACAGATCAGCACTTATCGATCGTGTATTATGACATAATGATGAAATTAACCAATCATATATTAATAATAACATATTTGGTTAGTTTATATGTACCCAGTGTTTAGCATGAATGTTTATTTTCTATAACTGAAAGAGGCACTACACTAAATTATTATATCCAGACGAGAATAAATGAATGGTAACTGTTAGGAATTACTTATGAACTAATATTATACGAATATTCTTATTGTATGGCTATTAAGTAACTATCTTATGTGTATTCATATTCCTTTCATTATAAGCTTTTATTTGACCTATTGATTACAGTTATATGATTTACTATTCTCAATCTATTGGTAACAGTTTCTCACAATCACAACCACTTTTGGCTTGATCTTGTACAAATTGGTATTTTCCATTTTATGGTGTGATGTGGTCTGATTTTTTTGTACATAAACCCAGTATGTCTGAAATATATGATTCATATAGAGGAGGCTGAGACTAGAGTTTTGGACTTAACAGGCAGAGCCAAGCAGAAGAACCAATAAGAATTCTAGGCTGACCGCATGGATGCAAGTGTCATTAGTTTGGTTGTATAAGTCAGCGTATCTAAATTCGCAACCGTACTTTGCGATAATCGTATAGCTAAGGCCATAACATAAATATTATGAAGTAATTAATGTCGAAATAAAAGTGAAAAGTCGAGTTGCTTAAATGCGATGAATGGTGTGCTAGTATCATTAAACTTGAACCTATGATTGTTAATTGTATTCAAATCGCAAACAGAACAAAAAACGGATGGACAGGAGACCTATTCAGTTTCACGTGATATCAAAAGTATGAGAGCGGTTATCGCCTTCCGTTTCCCTACTCTATAGATAGTTCTACTTGGGAGATTTAAAAACTGGATCGGTAGTAGCCTTGATGATCCTGGGAGGCAACCGCAATCCCAAAAGAAAAATACTTAAGGCTGCTTACATACGACTTTTCTGCGAGTATCTTTAGATGAGTTAATTCTGCGCTTTTGAGACCTTACCTAGAGTGACGGGAATTCGCAGGACAAGATGAGGTGTGATATTTTAAGGTCAACCTTCACTAGCACACCCATTCCGTTGTGGGAAGGGAACATCTCTGTAGATGCTGATTGTCTGAGATAAACACGTTATTGACGGCATAATCCAGTACAATCGGTACTGTGACTTCATCCTCAGTTCACGATTTTGCTGCTTTTAGTCTTACTATTCACCAACCAACCTTCTTAACAAGATAGGACCTAAATGAACGAATTTCCCAGCCAATATATCTCGATTGGATCATCATGATGTGTAAATCCGACCACCAGGTCAATGTAGCAGCTACAGTCGAGAAGTAGCTAAGTGGTTAAAGCATTTATTTTCGACTTGTAAATGATGTGTTCAAACTCCATTTCACTTAATGCAAAGTTCTGCACTTCATACATGAGTTACACCAAATTGCAATCAACAAAAAGGAGAAATATTATAATAACGAAACATTCATAGATCAAATTAAGAAAAACATTGCTTCCTTCAAAGTGGTACAAGTCACTTAAGTTTGTGAAAAAGGGAATTGGCAGCAATATAATAATAATAATAATAATATTTTGAGAGAATGAACAAGGAAATTCAACCAGTTTAATATGTCAGGATAATAAGTTGGTATTTGTGAATTTGCGTTGCTGAGGAGCTCTGTATAAGGGCGAAACCTCCCTCTAGTGCTTTCAGGTTTGTAATATCAGTCTAGCTAAGACCAATTCGTGATTTCAACTGACGAATTCTACAAATCCCTCATACTAATTTCCATTTTGTCATAATTTTTTTACATAGGATCTTAGTTTGTTGATTAGATCTTATCATATTAAGCTGTATAGTTTTCCTTAACTTGTATGTATGATCTTTACTCAATATTACGGAAGACGGCATTTAAGACTGAGTCGACGAGAAATTTGCCATTTTCAATTGGTGATATGGAGTACTTACTTTACTTACTCCTGTTACTCCTCATGGAAAAGAACAAACCGCCCACTATCATTCTCCACTCAACAACAGATAGGGTTGGCTATGTCTTTAGAAAGTTTCAATATCGATTTTTGTTGTTTATCCGAGTCCCGTATTTAAGACTCCAGTGAGGCACTACAAATTCACGTGCGTTTATAACTCCACATGTAGCTCTCCTAAGGTTACTGCCGGTTTTAAGCCCGGGTAAAGGAGGAGAGTTGGGCATATGGTCGGAAACCCCATCTCGCAGAAAATAAACTTGCAAAAGAACGCTAACCAGAATAAACGATGACGTGGATTAATTCAACTTTAATATTGCGTCTATTGCAACATACTGTTAGTTTTAGATTTACAACTGTAAAGCCTGATGAAGATTTCATCGAAAAAGTTTATTCGCACTAAGACTTATTGTTCTTGCAGAATATAATAAATGAAAAGTTTCAAATTAAAATTAAAAAAAAAAAAAGAAACAACCTACACCTCCGAGCATCGCAGTTTTATAAAATTTACGAGCAGCATTAGTATATTTTTCATTTCTACCCAATAAAATGAGACCGGAATAAGCAGCCGGCAAAGATTCAATGATATACAATTTAGGAATTTCAATAGATCCACATGAATTCGATAAATTATCATTAGGAGTATCCTGTTGTTCCCGTTCCAACGATGTGATTATAGTGTTTAATTGTGGTAAACAATCATTTATACCAAGATCTGATGCACTGTATAACTAGTTCAATGATTAAGACATTAATGAGAATGAATAAAGGAATAAGTAAAATTAAGATCGTTAGAAAACAAGGCGAATAGTAATGTATCAAATATTAAAATTGACTTGTAAACAAATGACAAATTGAGAGGAAAACTTGTAAAGCATCATTGAACAATTCTGTCAAAAATTAAAATCAGAAGTATGTTTATTTATTTAGTTTGATCATGGAAAGCAAACTAATCAAACATGATTGACCACTTCACTTTTCTTGGTGACCTAATTAACTCTGTTGCGTTGATGTTGGACAAGATTTAAAGACATATACAAATAACAGTAAGTAACTATTTACCTACTTAAATACAGGAAAGCACTTTTAAGGTAAATATTAAGAATTGAGGCTGCAACAATGTGCATTAAAAGACGCTTCACTATTTTAGGTAGATAAAAGTCCCATTCCACTAGGCTTTGTAGTATATCATCGTTACACAGAAATTAAATTACGGCAACTGATCTAAAACAAAACGACTTTGAAAGAATGGTCATCGAACGTTCAGAGTACTTTACATAAATCTGTAAATCTTTGGAAACTAATGTGATCCTTGGTTTGTTTTACATATGTATCAATAATGTTGAAATCTCCTATACAATATACATTGTTCATGGACATTTTCACAAATAGTATATTACGTTTACTGACCTAGAAATTGAAGCAACTTATACATGACATTCTATCAGGCCACCTCGAAGCTGTTTAGTATTAGGCCAAAATACATCCCGAAATATAAGATTATATCTCATATTATCTTATACAAATGTTTAGCGGTAAAACATGAAAGTCACACCACTAATTTACACTTGGTAAGTCTGTTGATGAATTTTAGTAAGTTAGCAAGGATATAAACGAAAGCTGATTCTTATAGTAGCAGAAGGCTAGTGAAGTACAATTAGAAAAATAAATGAGTCTTCATTTTACCACAAAAAGATAATAAAGTCTAGATATTTTTGACTGATACAAATCTCATAAAGACTACAATTTGATGTTAGTAGAAATACTTTGTAATTCAAACCAGGAAATCCAACTTTACAATTCTCATTCATAACGCTTTGACATAATCAGTTTATTCATTGACACTATTCAAACAACAAATGTATCTGGAATGGTGAAATATTGATATACTTAAGCTCATGAAGTATAGAATACTATAAACTAACATAATACTCCAGGGATATTATATAGGTCTACTTCCCTGATTTATTTTATTACAATGTTAGTTCTCAAACAAATTGTTTGGTCATTTTTTACGAAGACACATAGCTCCATTTTCTTACTTTAGGATTAATCATTGAAATAGCTTCACGGCTGGTTAGTGAGTGACCCCAAACAGAAAGATTAGGTGGTTTATCAATCACAACAAAATATTTAGTTAAAGCTACAATACGCTGACTAAGATAGTGAGCCAATTCATGTGGATCTGTCCAAGACAGATATTTTGGATATGGAGATTTATCAGTTGTCAGTTCAGCAGAATTGTTTACAACATTCTGAACAGGTGTAGTTGAGTACTGGGGTTGATAACATTGGTTATTATTAAGTTTGGATCTGATTAGTAGTTGATCAATCACATTTGAAATGTAACAATTTGGAAATGTACACAAATTCAAACTTTTTTTCAGCATGGTATTCTTTCTTGTTTGTATTAATCTAAAACTAATAAAGAGAATTGATTAACAAACTGAAGAACGAATAAAAAAGAATACAAATTTACATCATTAAAATAATAAAAACTTTTGAACAAAAGAGTGGTGATAATTATGTAGAACAAACCAATAATTCAAAAGTACATTCAGTGGTCAAAGGGTTCTTGCAGGTTTGGACTAAATAGAAAGATATATTCGTAGCATTTGAGGCTGCGATGTTCGCCGTCGAATGGGAATTCATGTCATAAGAATATGTTACTGGTGAGCTCTATCCAGATCATAACATAGAAACATAATATAAGAGTGAAAATTGAGTTGCTTTTTACTTTTTAATCGTTGTACGACATTAAAATATGACTTCACTTTCAATAAACTGCTAGGTAATTATTATATTTGCATACCCAACATAAGCAACTGGCTGTTAAGTAAACTGTAAGTCCGACCTTACTACAGATTACTACTGTATTTACGAGACAGTATATTATATTCCATCAACAATTTACACTTAGGTTACAAACACTTATATCATGAAAAGAATCAAGAACCATAAAAATAAGTAATATTTATTGGCTTTACTTCTGTGTTAAAAAATGATATTATATTAACTTTAAACTTATCAAGAATTATATCAAAACTATTATATTCTTGTCATTCAAGGTTGACACTAGCAAAAACCAAATTGCGCTCATACACTGGTTTATATAATGATGTTCATTGAATCGTTGTTCGATAGTTTAAAAATGTTTAAGTTCACCTTGTTCACCGATATCCTAGAGTATCAGTATTTAATACGTAAGATTTCGAATTAATCAGAGATGTAATAATCGACAATAATGTACCAACGAAATTAATTGGCTCTTCACTAACAAACAACTATCAACCTGGAAATTTAAAAAAGAACAGTAATTAAATTAACTATGCAGTACTCTGACCAGATATACCACTGATCTATATTATTGGATGTTTTGACAAAAGGAAGTCTGTCTCTTAAAGTTTGTGGAGTCTATTTAAACAAAGTTTGTCAACAGAAGAACGTCATGAAAATTAATTAATATTGGATGAACCGATGGATTTTCCCCAGTAAGAGTAATAGAAAACCGGATGAAGAAATCCGTTGAAGGCAAACAGAACAAGCGATTTTAGGCCTGAAAAAATCTCAAAGGTGATTTAGGTTGAAATTACTAAGATGTGAAACATTAACAGATATGTTTATACATGTTTAGTAATATTATTTGCAGGTGTAATGGAGCATTACTTAGTTGTTGTGATGCAGATGTTGGATAACACAAATAATTAACGAAGCAAGATGTTGAGTATAATATTTTATAAATCCATGGATTTCCATTCATAAGAGTGATTAGTGTCCATCGAAGAATAACTTACAGAGTCATACAGGTAACCTGTAACAAATATACTAGTGAGTTTTACTAGTACAGAGATAAAAAATAGCAAATAAACAGCATATTTTAATGCGAATAGTTTGAACAAAAAGCACTATAAATTTGAACCAAATAAGGAATCAAATTAGCATTATACCGAAGAAACAAACCTGTAATAACGGTATACTATTTCATATTAAAGAAATATTATTAAATTGCAATACAGCACTAATAACATCTGCCCCCAAATGCCCTGGTATGGCCGAGAGTGGGGTGGGCCCGCCCTCCCTCTCGAAATGCTCTCACATGGCCACGCGTATACAGCCTCTGCCAGGGAAGTCCTACTCACTGCCTTCTCGTGGCGGGGGTGTTGTTTACGAAATTGAGAGGACGAAAAGCGAATGTCCGGCGCTTCAACTGGATCCCAAACCAAATCAATGGTGCACATGGGCTTCAGTATCCTAAGGGAACAAATAGCGTATGAACCAATTGTTGGTCACCGGCTACCATGGGACTGCATCTCCTTACGATGCTCCACTGCCTTGTGGGTCAGATTTTTAGGCTAAAGGCTAGGGGTGTGGCCCCCTAAGAAAACCACCTGCTTCGGTCTGGGCACCCGGGCAGTATCATAACCCACACACAAATATAATGGTAATGAAAATGTGTGGCGCATACATATTTGGTGCCCTCTTGCACCAATATTTATGTGTTCAAATAAAATAAAATAAAATAATAACATCTAAACAACAAAAGTACTTCTAAATATCTTTTCATTTAATAATACTATAGTTAAGCTGTACTAACCACGATAAAATTTGCATCGAGAACCACATAAATAGTAGTATTCAAGGATGGACAAGACCTTCTAAGTGAAACAAAAATATTAATTTTTGTTTTAAAATGTAAAGCTCCTACATGTATTTCCAATCTGCATACACAGAGATTTATTTTAGTTATCTTATTGGTAATAGTGGACAGGTAAATATTTTTAAATGGTGCCTATCTTAGTAGTATGTTATTTTTATTATAAAGTAGCAATATCTTTATTAAATTTGTTAACCAGGAGTGAAACTGTACTAGTCGTACAGTAGTTTTATGGAATTTCTAATAAGACCCATCAATAATGAAAACATTAAATCAAAAAGACCTGAAAAACGCACGTTAACTTGCCGATTTTATCAACGCTAAACCATTTTAGGTATATTAATGGTACGACTTTTTGTTTAATCTATTCATGAGACTTAAGAGGCCAGTTTATAAAACAAAAGATGGAGAGATACTTCATAAACGTATGGCATTACTTAATCTTAGGTGACATTTCATCAATATTCTCCTTATAGAGAATTTCTGTGTTTTGCGCAAATACAAGGATAATAAATAACCTAAACATTAAAGTATCAACCTTTGAACTGAAGAAATTATTATTAATACACATCCCGCATATTTAAATCAATTTTGATTGATGTAACTCATTGGAAGAAACTGAATCTGTATACGATATTCACATGTATAAATAAACACGACTAAGTAGCTTAGTGTGTTGCCTTAAGGATTAAAAAATCATAAAATATATGGATGTTTGTCAGGTAAATAATAAAAAGTAGGTTTGTGTGCAAATTTACGGAGAAACATATTTCATAAACATTCAGTACCTGGTAACATCTACGTCTTGAGGTTAGTGAATAGACGTGAGCGGTTAACAGAGTTGTAAGAATAGAAATCTATAAGAATATTGATAAGGAATGACTAACAAAGAAAATACACTAATGGCAACCGGCACGTCAAAAAATGAATTATTTTTTGCTACTAACTTTCAGCATTCGAAAAGTAGAGATTACTCTGATCAGATATACTTTGATTAAAAATAGTTGTATATTACGGTTAATAAATTTAAACTGAAATTTACAATTCTGCAACAAAAATCACATCAATTTTACACATACTTGCTTGAACTTCTAAAATATCACACTTGCTGATATAATTAAGATGATATCAACCTCAGTAAAACCGCTATTTATGGAAGTGATAGTAGATTGCATGTTTTTACACAGCCTATATAGCAAACTATCGCAAACGACCATTTCAATATGTTCATACCTGTCCATCTGTTTCCATGAAGACAACAATGTATTATTTACAGAGAATTTACAATGAAGAATGAAATTAATATCGGTTTTCCAATGAAAGATATATCGTCAACAACAGACTAGGTGTAGCAAATATTTTATCCAACTTAATGATCAGAAAGGTGTAAACAATAACACTAAGGTGTATTCCTTCCTAGTGCTAAATGTTCAATTTTCCAAATTACTTTCTGCTGAGATTCTGTCCACTGGTAGCTTACTACTCACTAACATCAAGTCTCGTTTTTCTCTTGATCACAGTTTCTCTCATAAAAATTTGTCTGATATTTTTAACAGAAAGTTGTTCGAATCTAATCGATTGTGATCAGTCATTTTTAGGCCAATACTTATGATTCATAGCAATTTCTGTTGTTTCATCTTGAAAAAATTAAATTAGGTTTGTTAGTTTAAAGAATTTGATAAATAATACATCATGGTTGACCATAGCGAAAAGAAATCAAGTATTACAAGAAATTTAAAGAATAATACTTGCAACTAAGTGGATAAGGACTGTTTTTTACATTTGCTACTTAACATTAGTTTTAACCGATCTTTCATGATCCTAAAACCACATATGCGTAGGCGAAACAAACAATCAGGATTTTCGCCCTACCATCGTCGACAATTTTCTACTTACTAACCAGTCTCCAACAATCGAGTTTTCGTGGTCGGTCGGTAAAAACAAATATGATGATTGTATCGTCCAATCGAAGCAAACGACTTCGTCCAAAATATCAATCAAAAATTGGAACAACAATCTTAAGTGATTAACAAGATGGAACCACAATATAAATATCAACTATGACTATTTATTTATTCTATGAAAGGTTTCGATGGAAATAAACGGTCAAACGTAAACCCGTTTTTTGATAACCGAATGAGTATTTTAACAGCACTATAGCTGCATATCATCCAATTTCGTTCATAGTCAGTAAATAACTTTCTTCCTCATACCAAACAATAAGTGAGAAGTGAGAAGGATTAGAATAATTCACCAAAATTCGTTAGTTATATTTCGAATTTACGAAGGTTTGTTAAATTCTCAGGACTGTTAGTATGGAAATGGTCATTACTAATCCATTTTATAGCTAAACGCTTGAAAAAAATACAGATACGTGGGTAATGATACATTTACTTAATCGATTTTTAGTACTTTATACTTATAATAAAGTGTTAATTTATCCTTTTTACTGCTACTCACATTAAGAATGAGTACAAATTTCTATTATCAAGTCTGTAATTTATGAAATATAACTAGTTACGAAAGACATACAAAGATGAATGAATAAATATCAAGTACAAACAACAAGTACACAAAGAAAGAAAACATGCTTGAGGGCATATATATAAACATATTTTATTTTATTTACTTGAGATATAATTTATTCACATACATTAAAATAAATAAAAACAATCTTCAAAATAAAATTTGTATACTATACCAGTACTACAGGAAAAACGCATAGAATTAAGAGAT